AAAGAAAAAGTTTAATTTTATAAATATTGTGTAAAAGGAAATAACAGTTAACAACTAATTTAAAACACCGTCTATATAAAGATAAAAAAGAACCAGAAACTTTGTCTAAAAATAGTTCATTAGATATGGATTTGTGTTTTATTATTATTAAAGAAAAACAATTGCTTAACTTTTTATTTGTTTATTTACTTAATTAGACTTGTCGGACATGCCGACGATCACAACGAGATATATTTTTTTGTCTTATATAACGATTAACCAAAAAAAAAAGAACATACATATCGCATTCTTCGCTCTTTTTCGCTCAAATATAGAAAAAAAATTCGATTCACACTTTTTATTATCATACCATTTATCACGTATACATTTTTTTATTTTAGTAAATTCAATATTTTTTTTCGTTTTTTTTTTGTTTTTAAAATCATACCGAGAAAAACTGACGGGAATTTGATATTTTGTTTCTATTTATAATTTTTTTTTTTTGTTTTTGCATTTATTTTGTTATTAAAGTCTCTTTTTTTCATCAGTATTCAATAACACTGCGGACATAATTTTTTAAACTATATATATTTTTTTATAAAAAAAAGCTAGGCCTGTATTTTCTCTAATTAAACACGAGATTCGAGACAATTTTTTTTTTCAACAAGATATTTAGATTTTTTTCTCTAACTTTTTAATTTTAAATACAAATATGAAAATTTGGAACAAGAACGATTTTTTGAAAAATTACTATAATTTGATATTTTAAAAAAGAATTTTTATTTTATACTAAAAATATTAACAAAAATGTTTTTCTTTCCATACAAAACTAAAATCAAAGACAGTCGGAATAATTAATTTATGAAATAAGTCCTTTTATATTTCAAAAAAAAAAAAAAAAAAAAAAAAAAAAAACATTTTATTACATAAATTTTACCGACTGAATAAATTAGCAAAAAAGGCTTTTTCTCTCTACATTCGGAGAATAGTTGTAATTTTTTTTTCACATTATAGAAGCAAAATACATCGATAACTGTTTCTTTTTTTAAGCTATTACATTATTTTTAGACAGAGAAAATTTCCGAAAAATCTGTGCGCGTCAAAATTACAAACAATCTCGCTATTATAAATGTCGATCTATCAGAAATGAATAACAATTCTGACGTACTTAGAGAAATCGTGTTTTTCTTTCTATTTATAAACTCACTCCGTTAATCGCGTACAATCACTTTTTTCAAATTTTTTTTTGTTACTTTTTTTTTTTTTTTTTTTTTTTTTTTTTTTAATTTAAAAGTGAATCACAACGTTGTTACATCAACGAACTTAACGAAGTAGTATTTTGTATATATATATAATATATTGATAAATATAACTATGCACTAAAACATGCACAGCAAAAATGTGTAAAGCTATTTTATTTTTAGTGGTCGCACGGATATAAAAAAAAATTATTCAATTATTTACGGCTCATTTGAGACTCAATCGTGAAAATTATTATACAACTTTTAAAGTAATATCAACAAGAGATATTTTCAGATATTTCCTGTCTTTAAATCCTTTAAAACAATGATTTAAAAAAATCCAATTTTCATTATATCCGTGCAATTTAATTAAATTCCTAAACATTTTCTTTTCTTACATTCAAGATAAGAAAAAAAAATTTAATTCTTTCAGGCGTTTTTTTTTCATATATATTTATAATTTGTTTTTTAATACTTGAGTTGCCAGAGGCGCGATTTACCGATTTATAAATGTAACTAAGCGGATAAACTATGTAAAAAAAAATAAAAAAAAATAATGTAAAAAATAAAAATTCGGTACAAAAAAGAAATAAAATGAGATCAGCGTTATTTATTTAATTCAGATGATGCTAAACAGTAATTCTCGTCTTCATAACGAGCGTATATTTATAATAGTTTTTTTTTATTTTTTTTTTATAATGATAAAACATCGATGTTTCAATATCGTTGATTCAGCATATTTAACAAAATATTCAGAGTTAATTTTAATGAACAATTTTTATTTTCGCAATAATTTGAAATAATCTTTGGATTAGTCAATTAAATTTCTTAGCGTCGACGCTTAGCGTCAAAAATTAATTATTATAAAAAAAAAAAATGTCACTGTTTTCTTTTATGTAAATTTTGAAAATTTATCAAAGCCAATGATTTCGGAAAAAATGCTTTTACTTTTTCTTCAAGCGTAAAATAAATATTTTTAAACGCTTAGCGTCGACGCTAACTTCACTAACCTTAAATTTCAATCAAAATACGAACAAAATAAAAAAATATATAAATATATTTGTAGAAAAAGTAAACAAATTTTTTTTTTTAATACAAATAATAATTTCAAGAAACTAAATAAATTTCCAAACAAATGTAAATTCAAAAAAATTATATTTCTCTGAATTAACATTTTGAATTATAATAGAAAAATAAATACGAATAAAGAAAAATTTTACATAAAAAAAGAACTTTTATCAGATAATGTAAAGAAACGATTAATTTTTAATTCAAATTAGTAATCTCTTTTTTTCTCTAATTTTTTTTTTTTTGCCGTCAAGTGAAAAATGAGACATTGTTTAAAATTGTTTCAGAAAACGATTGCATATATATGCTAATGTGCATTACCACACATGTGTTTTAGAAAATTGTATATGTTAAGATTATAGAGTATAATATGAGATTCTAAGTAAACGAAAATAATAGTCTTGGTAAAAAGAAATATTATTTTGTTCCAAATAGTGCATGGGGGGAGGGGTATTATAGATTTTTTTTTAAAAATCTATTCCCGTTATTGTAAATTTACTATGGCGCGAGGCAAATATTTTTCAGTTACGAAAACAATCATTTTCTATTATTACAGAACGATTAAATGAACTTTCGAATATTTAAATTACCTAAGAAATTATACTTCTTTGCTTTTTCTCCTTTTTTTAAAAATATAAATTGCCAGCGGCAAAAATAAATTATTTTTCGAAAATTAATGTAAAAAAGAAAATACAAATATTTATTAGAAAAACTAACAAATTTTTGTCAATTTTTAAAATTTTTTATTAAATTAAATTTTTTATAAATGTTCTGGACAAATCTTTCCAATTTGGTTTTTATGTATTTTTATTTAAAATAATTTTTTAATATCTTTAAAATGCTTTTCAATGTTTTTCAATATTTTTAAAATACTTTTTAATATTTTATTTTAATAAGAAAATTTTTTCCTATTTTTACAGTAAAAATAGCAAAATATTTTCTAGCCAAACTGTATATTGTAATTTTTAATTTAAAAAAATATTAAGAGAATTGATAGTAATAGCGCTGATTCTTTAATAATATAATCATGTTGTTTTGTAACTAATCTTTCTCTTACACATAAAAAAAAAAATACTTTTATCTGCCTTGCAAAAAAAAAAAAAATGATAGCATGAAAAAATTTTTAATGTAAACTGAATTAGAAACCAATCGTTTTCTTCAAAAATCATTTCACTGTAACGTAAAAAAAATTCATTCCTAAATAATATAATTATAATAAATTTATTATGTTCGAAAATATTTTTAATTTTTTTCAAATTTTTATTATTTTTCGCGATTATTCTACTTTAGCGAAACTTTATTTAACTAAATTTTCATTAAAATTAACTCTTTATATTTTAGAAAAAATTTCAAATTTTTTTTTCAACTTTCAATATTTTTCTTTTTTTGGAAAAAATTTTTCAAACTTTTTTTTTTTAATTCTAAGCGTTTAAAATGTGAAATTTTTATCACGTGACAATTCACATTGTTTTTTTCTATTTAGTTGTAAAAAAACAATTTTAATTTCATAATTCTTTCAATTTTTTTCTATTTTTTAAATTAAAAATTTTTTACTATTGTTGAAAATTTTAATTATTTAAATTTAATTTAATTTAATTTAATTTAATTTAATTTAATAAATTTTAATTTAATTTTGTACAAAGTGTGAAGATCGCTTTCTAATTAAAGTCGAAACAAAAAACTGCAAGAGTTTTTATTAAATATTAGCAATTTTGAGAATTATAAAGATTTTTAATTAAAAATGCAATACGGCTACGCTGGAGGAGAGGGGGAATTCCCCCTCTCCTCCAGCGTCGCCGTATCGCATTTTTAATTTAAAATGTTAATAATTTTCCTTTCTGTGTTTCTCTCACGGCATTCCTCCTTATATTTAATTGAATAGTTTCTCAAATATTTTGTAATTTATCAACAATTTTTTCTCAAACGCTTAGAAATTTAACAAAAAAAAATTTTCTGCTTCCATTTTTTAACTGAATTCAACTATTTTTTCCGGGCCAAAAAATTATATCATCTTCGGAAAAATTTTGAAAACAGAAAGAAATACAGAAACAAATCTCGAACGATATTTTTTAATTTTCAAAAAAATTTGAAATATTTTTTACGCTAGCCTATTTTTTGTTTCGCAACATTTAAAAATAGTGCAGTAAATTTTACAAGCTGTAAAATATTTCATCTTAACTATTTACAGAATATTGTAAAACAAAAAATAAAAAACTTCTAATTTTTATCGCTCAACTTTTTTTTAAAGAAAAATTTTTGTATTTTCTTTTTTTTTCACCAAAAACTGCTTCTTGAACAAATATTCCATAATAATGTAAATAACAGACTAAATTTTGCGACACATGACAAATTTCACCTTTTTCACAAACATTGGGAAAAAAATATAATTTTTTTGTTTCTTTTTTGCTGAAACAACACTGATCACAAAAAAAATCAATTCTCCACAATGATGACAAGAAGAAACAAGAAGAGTCTTGATATTTTTTTTCTGTAGATTTTAAAGAAGCCGAAGAGTAGAAGAAAAAGAATCCAACCTCAAGGAATCTTTGAAAAGGAGGCAAACAAAAGGGAGCCCTCGTGACCGGCGAGGTCACACGAAAATCGTTAACGACCAATTCATCATTGAAAAACCCGAAGCTACAACTTCGGCTCCTAGTTCGGCAACAATCGCGCCTCCATACTATAAACGAACTTCTTCCACGTAAACGATCATGTCCGATGTTACACGAAGCCGACCATATTTTCTCGATCCGCTTCAAATATCAACACAACACACTCTCACCGTAATATTTACAAACACCGCCATGTAAGGCTTGGCTTTTTTTTTCGTCCTTTATTACCGCACATTTTTCTTTTTTATAGAAGAAAGAAAAAAAGAAGGGGCTAAAATTAATGAAAAATAGTCATTATTTTCACAGATCCAATGGCTGATAATTGGGCGGCAATGGCTCATCATCGGATTCATAATAAAAACTTTTTCGTTCATAAATAAATGGCCTCGGCTGTCCCACACAATCCTCAACTTCATCCTCAGAGCCATTTGTCGAATTATCGTATTCGTCAAACTGAAGTCGTTTAACCGCCTCCTTAATGAGGCCACCACGTCGCAATAATTCTTGCAACAATTCATAAGGATCATCATCGTCCCTTGTCGTTGAACGTTTCCGACTATTATGCTGTTGTTGCTGCTGTTGATTATGATGACGATGCTGTTCATGTTGCGTTGAATTTCTCATACCACAAATTTCACAATTACTCGCTGGATCGGCCCATGAACGCGATGGTATCCGATATGGTGATGGACGATTTTTATGAGCGTGACTTGATTTTGCCTTTAAATTTGATATTCGTAAATTCTCCTTTATTTGCGAGACAAGAAGATCAACATCTTGTGATAAAAAATCTTGTGTTGTGTCTGGTATCACCTCAATAAGGTATGTTGGCTCCTCGGCACTCGGCATTTTGGCCACACCAATAACACGCTCCAGACTCTCTTCTTTTGTTGATGTTTATACCAGCAAATGGCTGTTCGTGTGTCCCTTTCTCTCAGAAGGCACAAACAACAAAAAATATCCAGGCACTTTTTTTTTCTCCTTCTATTATTTTGTATATATAAGCGCGTGATTCACAATGTTACGCGTGACTCCTTAAAGCGGAATTTCGCATCTGTACACACTGACTGCTGTCGTGTCCGGGAATGAATGAACAGAGAGTAAGAGAGATGGTGCTACTACAACTCATCGGACATTGTTGACGTAGTTTTTCGCGTTTGTTATTGTTTTCCACCTGGCTGTATGTTACTCGCGCATACTCGTAAAGACCACAAGAGGTCGAGGACACTTTCTATTCCTGTTTTTTTGTGAATTTACACAACACGCGAATTTTTTTTTTTTTTTCACTTCCCGGCGAGGTCACACTTCTACTTTTTCTGAATTTTGAAAAATATTTCTGCAAAAAGTCAGAAGTCAAGGGGAAGGGGAAATAAACAGTCTTTTTTTCGTTTTACAAACACACAGAGAGAGTGAGACGACTCGACTGACTCGGGTCAGAAGACGACGGGAACGGGAATATTGAGGCTGCCTGTCTGCCAGCCATGAACCTTCCTCTCCTCCTCGGCCGCTCTGTTATTATTGTTTTGGTCTTGGAGGCGCATGCGCGCATTCACCTCAATGCGAACGAGAGAGAAGGAGAGTTTCTCGTGTAAACAAACCGTTAACTCAACTTCACGAAAACCCCCGGCAAATCGATAATAACGTCATCGCTTTTCCACCTTTCTTTCTCGATTTCCCACTTCCTCCCTCCCCACCAATATCTTCATGTTTTCATTCTATTTACATACATTGTATATCTATATGTTTATACGAAAAGAAAAACATTCAACGCCCACTCAAATACTTATCGATAATTACATTTACAATACAGTCTTATTACTAATTTCGATCACTAAAAATAGAAACATTTTGAAGAATACGACATTCTTTTTTTATTCTTATCACAATGAATGATAAAAAAAACATCTAGACTTGAAAAATTAGTAATGATTCCATTTTTTTTATTAACCGAATTTTCATTTATAGACACATTTTCATTAAGCAAAATTCTCACCAACTTTTATTAAATCAATTTCTCCTCTAGCCGAATTATTTAACTAAATTGTCATTTGACTGGGTCGACAACATTGTTTGTTTCGAAACTTAATTTGCCGAGCACGCACCTGTTCTTTGGCAAAAACATTTAATTTATTATCGCTTTTCGTTTTTTCTATTGTAATAATAATTTAACTTTTTCTATTTTTAGGAATTTTAATAAAATTCTTTTCAAAATTCAATTATTTTCGCACAAATAACAATATTCATCAGAAGAATTCAATTATTTACAAAAGTAATAAAATTCTGCGAAAAAATTCAATTATTTTTAAAAACTTTAACGAATATCTCATCAAGAATTCAATTATCTTTATAAATAGCAATATTTTTCGCCTATAATTCAATTATTTTCAAAAATTTAAATAAAATTCTTGTCAAAACTTCAATTATTTTCAAAAGTTTTTTGCAATTCAATAATTTTCATAATATTTACTATTTTCATAAAATTTATCAAAAAATTTAATTATTGAAAAAAATTTTGATAAAATTCTACGAAAACATTCAATTATTTTTATAAATAATAATAATTCATTTAGAAATTCAATTATTTTCATCGCAGAATTTCAAATATTTTTAATACAATTTTAAATAAATTTCTCAAAAAATGCAATTATTTTTAAAAAATTTATTAAAACTTGACGAAAGAATTCAATTTTAAGAAACATTCAATTATTCAATAAAAGAATAAAATTCGTTGCAATAATTCAATTATTTTTAAAATTTTTAAGTAATTCTGCGCACAAGAATTCAATTATCTTGATAAACAACAAAATTCTTCCCATAAAATCAATTATTTTAAGGAATTTAAATATAAAATTCTTTTCTCAACTTCAATTATTTTGATAAATATCAAAATTTATTTCAAAAATTCAATTATTTTAAAAAGTAATAAAATACTTTGCAGAAATTAAATTATTTTTAAAATTTTTTTAAAATTCTCGTCAATAATTAAATTATTTTCATAAATAAGTAACGAAATTCTTCTCAAGAATTCAATTATTTACAAAAATATTAACAAATTTCTTGGTACAATTTCAATTATTTAAACAATATTTAATAAAATTCTTCGCATGAATTCAATTATTTTCAAAGACATTAATAAATATCTTGGTAAAATTTCAATTATTTAAACTAAATTTGATAAAATTCTTCGCGTGAATTCCATTATTTTCATAAATTATTATTTAAATTCTTCGCAGGAGTTCCAATTATTCCTAATAGTTTTAATAAAATTCTTAAATAATATAATCAATTTCAGTAAAATTTTAATTGAATTCTTTAAAAGAAATTAATTATTTTCAAAAGTTAATAAAATTTTTCGCAAAAATTAATTTTTAAGAAATATTTAATTATTGAATAAATTATTTATTTTTGTCTTTAAATAATTGAATTCTCGTAGAATTTTCTAATAAAAATTGATTTAAAAATGAATTTCGGTTAAAATTTTAGATAATAATTTAATATTAAAAGCATTATTAGCGTGAATTTTTAGAAATAATCGTAATCGCATTTGAAAAGATTTCAAATTAAAATCTTTGGAAATCTGAATTTTTCATACTTTTAAACCAAAAATTCTGTAAAATTAATTTTTTTGAAAACGTTAAATTAAATTTTTTTTCTTGAAATTATTTTAAGTTGTAATTTTCTAATGTATATTTAACTAAAGAATAATTTCCAAAAAATCAAAATTTCGTATAATAATTTAATTTGTAAACAAATGGATTTGAAAAATCTCAAAGAACTTTTTCAAAAATTATATTAAAAAATTGATTTAAAGAAGAATTTTAACTGAAATTCATTTTTAAATTAACTTTTATTAGAAAATTTTACGAGAATTCAATTATTATTATTTGGTCGTTAATGGGTTAACGAAACTTCTGAATCAAATTTTTAAATTTCAAAAATTTTTATTTTCTCGTAAAAAGTAATTTTAAGCGAATTTTTATATGCACTAATCCTGTGACAAATTTTTTTTAATAAATTTTGATTGATTAATTTTTAAATTGTACCAAAATCTTCGTATTATGTTGAATAAAAATTATGGGTTTTACTAATTTTATATCAAATAATAATTATTTTTAAATCAAAATCTATAATTAAATTCTTTCAAACGTAGATTCTAGTTAACGAATTTTTATTCTTTATTTTTTACTTTCAACTTTAATTATTACTTTAAGTTTAATTAGAATTAATTAATAATATATATTCGATTCAAGGAAGAGAGAATCAAATGAAACAATATTTTTGACGAAATGAAAATATTGTTTCATTTAATTCTTTCTTCCTTGAATCGAATATATATATTATTAATTAACAATACACGGAAGGATATAAATTAATTTAAAAAAAATTTATTTAGAATTATTAAATTTATTAATATTTACTTCACTTTATAATAATAAAAAAAAAATTAAGTGAATATTAATAAATTTAATAATTTAATTGCTCTGTTTCTTTCTTATTAAATTTTAATTATTGTTCTCATGATTTTCCTGGGACAAAATAAATTCTAATTGTATTTTTTTTTACTCTTAAATTTCCTTTTAACTTTTTAAAAAAGTTGTGTTGAATGAATAAACAAGTGTAAATAAATAAATAAATAATATTTCACTCACCCAGAAATGATGTTGTTCAATATAGAATTATCCTTTCGTGACTTTTTTTAACAATCGTCCAAAATATTTAATTACATCAGATATTCATCGATTGTCCTAGTTTAAAGTAAATACCATTCTCTTATTATAGAATCTCTTTTATTTTTTATCTCTCTCTTTCTCTTGAAAATATCTAGCTCTGAAAAAATAAAAAAATAGATTAGTCATTTAGGATAAGGTTGAAGCTGATGAATCAAATTTTATATACGCAATCTTCAATTCAATAATATATAGATTTATTATGCGTGTAGAAAAAAAATTCATACATCGAAGTATATGAAACGATAAAAGACTAATTAAACTGTTGATTTACAATTTAATACATTGTACCTTGAATCTTTCATTTGATACACATTAATTTAAACAAAAAATAAATTTTCAATGACAAGGAAATTTTAAACAAATTAATATTTTTACAAACTCCCGACGATTGCAAATATTATTCTCGGGATTAAAGAACAAAAAAAAGAAACAAAATAAACCGAAAAGAGGACAGGAAAGAATCAATGTTTGCTTTTCAAGGACGCATAATTTTAACAAATAAACAAAATAAAAATTGTAAAATAAAATAAATTTTGTAATTTATTAAAAAAAAGAAAAAAATTTCCACTTGAAAAGTAAAATTATTTTCAAAAAGAAAAAAACATTATTTGTGTAAATATTATTTTTCGTATTTTATAAAAAAAAAAAATTATTATTTCCTTTAAATGTTTGCTAAAATTAAAAGTAAACTTTTTATTGTAATTAAAAATACTCGTCTAGACAAATCAATTAGTCACCAATTCCGTTAAGACGAAAGGAAATTCAACTTATTTCTCCACTAATTACCCAAAGTAAGACCAAGTTTCTTGGAAATTTACAATAATTGCAATTTGCAAGTCATCAAAATCTCATTATTCAAAATTTTACTTTATCAACAGACAATTATTTACTTTTTGTCTTTAAAAAAAAAGGAAATTGACTTATAAAAACGAAAAAAAATTTGATCAACCATAATAAAAATGTAAACAAAAAATTTATAAATATAATAAAAATGCATTAAAAAATTTTGAGGTTATGTTCACTAGAGAATAACAAAAAATTAATATCTACAAATTATGGATTAAAAATCTAAATCTAATTTCAATTTTACAGAGAATTTGAATAGAAAAAATCAAAACTATCATCGAATATTTTTGAAATTAACTATAGTAAACACTTCATCCTGAATCGTAAACAAAATATTTTTTTAGATAAGTTACAGTCAACAAAATGTAAATTATGATTTCAATTTACAATTCATAATAAACTCACCACGACGGGATGTAAATATTAAGAAAACCAACAAAAACAAAAATGTAAATTGTAAAAAACAAGAAAAAGTTACATGAAATACGCGGCAATGTATCTATACCTGTGTTTACATCGTTCACAAACAACTGATTCGACAGGGTTGCCAACACCTTAATAAGAAAAAAATCAAGAAAAAATTCCCGACAATAGAAAAAAAACAATTGTTATAAATATTTTATACACGTAAAAACAATATTAACAAACAAAATTAAACAGTATTGTTAATAAACAATTCGTGAAATATATAATATTTTTAAATACGAAACTTTAAAGAGAAAGATGTAAGAAAAATTCCAATAATTATAATCATTTGTGCCAAAATGAGAAAACAAAATATTTAAATGGCGGAAAATTTAAAAAATTTTTCTTGCATTTGACATTAAGATTTAATTTAAATTACCTATGGGTCAATCCATTGAAAATCATCTGAGAGTGGTTGCTGGCATATTTTTAAAAAAATCTAGTTTCAATATTTATGTGAAACTAGACGAATATCTGAGTTTATTGATCATATAATATTATCGTGTAAATTTTATTTTCTTTTGAAATAAAATTATGAATTATTATTAATTAGATATTATTAATTATTATTCAATTATTAATTGAAAGAAATTTTCACAATTTTTCGAAGCTTGTAACTTTTTTCTGGAAGTTTAAAAAAATGTGAGGTTTTGCATATTTTTTAAAATTCATGTAATTTAATTTATTTTACGTTACTTTATTTATATGTGTATTTACATTGTTCTATTGTCATAATAACGGTCGTCTACAATATTACAAGACAATGTTTCAAATTATATATCTAAAAAATAAAGTATTTTTTTATTTAATGTCCGGGAATACTCGTGTGTATTCGAATTCCATGCATGTCTTTAATTTCCTCTTTCAATGCCTGAAAGAATAGAAAAAATTGAATTAAAAGATAAATTATAAATGAATAATTTCCTTATTTTAATAAATAGTGTAAACGAAATATTTTTGAATAAATCTTTAGTATTAATTACGAAAGAAAATTTCGACTTTAAGGCGCAAAAAATGTCGATTTAATTAATTAAAAATAGGAAAAAAAAATAGAAAAAGTCCTTTATTTAATTCAGTGTTATCAAAAAAAATTCTATTCAGTAATTTCTTGACGTTTCACTAATTTCTAAATTCAATTATTCAAAACTTGAATAATTTTGTAAAATAAATATTTAAAAACTTCTTGTTTTTCCGCACGGGAAATTTTTCGAAAATAACTTAATTTCTTGAAAGAATTTTTGTATATTTAAAAAAAAACTAATTAAATTTTTCAAGAATTTTAATTACAAATTTTGAACACAATTTATTGTTCTCTCCAAAATGTTAAAAATAATTCTAAAAAATGTTAATATTATTATTTTTGTAAATTAAAAACTAGAATGGAAAAATTCTAAGAATTGCTTTCTATTAAAAGGAAATTTTAATATAATTTTTAGATGCCAATTTTCATTAATTTTCATTTACAAAATTTACACTCTTGAAGATTTTTCATTAAAATTTTTAACAATTATATTATGTTCCAAATTTTGAAATTAAAATTCAACAAAAGTTGCTTCTTAAAAATTGTAATAAAATACTTTGAAAAAAATATATTATTTTCAATTAAATTTTACCAAAAAATTTCAATTATTCAAAAATTTGTTAATTATTGGTATATTTTAAAATATTAATTACCTTAAATAAATTATTTAAAAATAAGTTTTGAAAGATTTGTCTATTTCACAATATAAAAATCGAAATAAGTTTGCATATTATGCTTTTTCTCAAATTATAAATATTTTTATAAAATATAATTTTATAAAATAAATATTTTTTTTAAATTGTGACCATGAATTGGCAATTTTTTTTTACCTCATTGATAATTCGATGTTGTTTCACAGTAGTCAAACCTTTAAATTCCGGAGCAATGACGCTAACTTCAAACATCGCTCCACAACCTCCTAAAAAAAATTTTCAAGATTAATAAAAATTATTCAATTAAAAAATTTTAAAAAAGGAAGAAAAAGTAAATATATGTAAAATATTAAGAAAACAATTTTTCAAAGTTAATAAAAATTGTACAATCAAAGAATGGAAATAAATTAGAAAAAGAAAATAAATAAAATAGACTAAAGAAAAATTTTCCAAAGTTGATGAAAATTATACAATCAAAAAATGGAAACAATGTAAAAAAAACAAAATAAATGATTTTATTATAATTAGAAAAAATTAATAAAAAAAATTGTTAATTAAATTAATAAAAAATAATCGAAAAATTTGAATAAAAGAAAAAAAAAGAAAAATAACAAAAAGAAACAAAAATAATAGAAAATACAAAATTAAAAAAACAAAAATATATCTCACCCGAAACATCAGTGACTTCAACAACTTTTGCTTCTGGGAATTTATTCTTTAAAATGTTGATCATTTTTTGCTCGGCCTCCTTTCCAGCAAGAACATTGTTGGGTCCATTCCAAACTCGCGACAAAAGCTGCAACACTTTTATTTTATTCATCCTTCTTTAACAGGCATTCGAAATTTTTTCTCTCTCTTTTTTTAAAATTGACAAATTTCTACTTGCAATTCTCAAAAAGGAATTTCTTTGTTTTGTTTTAATTTCTTTAAAATTTGTTCTTTTCAAGAAAATAATAATGAATTCTGACGGAAATACTTGAAAAATTTTTCTCTTTTGTCTTCTGAATTTTTTAAGAAATGCTAAAAGAAATGAATTTTCAAAATAGAATAGTAATTAATTAATTACAGTAGTTATGCATTTTTTTTTTATTAACAACTAATTAGCACTAGGAATTTTTCTTCAAATGCAAAAAAAAGAATTAGAAAGAAAACGAAGAAAAAAAAGTAACAAAGAAAAAATTGTTACAATGAGTAAAATGTATTTCCATTAAAATTAGTTAATATTAATCATTATAATTAATAATTAATATATTGCATTAAATAGTTAAATAATATTAAATAATTTATTTATTTTCAGTAATTTATATTAATGTATTAATTATTATTATTGCAATAAATGAAACAATTATAATTGCAATAAATAATTTAAAGTTAATAACACTTTAATTACTTACCGAAATTTTACGAAAATTTGATGATAATTTGGAAGCGAACATAGTTGAAATTATCGAATATGTCAATGTCATCAGCTGTTTTTTCCCTTATTTCGAAAACTCTCAATTGTTTTCTGAAAATTGTTTCGAGAAATTAGTTTCTTTCATTAATTATAAACAATAAACAATTAGAAATAAATCCTGACGAAAAAATGTAGATGATGTAGACATTTATCTCAATAACCTTCAACATATTTTTCAATTCTTAATTAATATTCTAATGATTCTAATTAATAATAAATTAATTATAGTATTTAAATTTATGAAAATACTAGTAATTAATAATATTAATGATAAATTAATAATTTATAATACGAAAAATAAAAAAATATATAAAAATAAATCAATGAAAAACCAACTTTGAGGTTATGATTTTGAAAAGATCAACACTAGTTTAAATGATTTTAATGAAAATATTTCCATTTATTATTAATTAAATATTTCTATTATCAGAATTAAATAATTTTGAACATTGCATTGAAAATAATTTGTATTTTAACTTACCTTTTAATAAAAAACGAGTTAAAATATCCAATTTTTAAAAATAATTTATAACTCACGTTCCTCACGTTTAAAATTCACAATAAATGTACAAACGAATATTTATAATACTAAAACGAAGAAAAATTAAATTCCAGAGCAATTTCTTTTATCCGATAGAATAGGCACATGTTTTTTAATTTCTTTTTTAATTTAAAAAATGAAACCAATTGCAAAGAGAACGATCTTTGCGGGTTTACAATAATGCAAAGCATGCGTGCATGCACTTTTAAAAGGTTATGTTGACCTTCTATTTACCGCAAGTCGCAAGGAATTTTCTTTATCCGTGTTTGTAGTAACAGTAGTGTTAGTGATTTCCAAACAGCTGGGAGTGAATTTTAAAATTTAAAGGGGGTTTTCACTGTAAATTCAGTGTTTTTAGTGTTTTAGTGCTAAACATAATTTAGTAAATATTCCTATCAAGAAAAAATATTTAAATACTAGATTCAAACAATTGGAATACTACTAAATTATGTTTTTTCTCTGCAATTTTACAATTTTGCAAACAATAAACAAATTCTATTTTTCTTATTCTCTCGTTATTTCTTGACCAAATTTTTGTTCTTAACTTTTTTTCATTTTTTTATTCTTAGCATTTTTTAGAAAAAAAAAGTAAGAATTCTCGAGTATAAATTTACCTGGACACAAAATATAACCTCGCGAATATATAAATTAATATTTATTTACTTGTAAATATCTATTTTTTATAAATTTTAATTATCAAGAAATTTTTTTCATTGTAAAAAAATTGTAAATTATTGAATTCTCATAAAGAATTTTGTCAACAAATTTTTAAATAATTGAATTCCTTCGACGAATTTTAAAAAAAGTTTTAAACATAGGTATTTATATTTTTCGAGGAACTCGATTAAAATTGTATTAAAAATAATTGAAATTATGCTACTTATGTGTTTTATTATTTTTGAAAATAATTGAATTACTGTGAAGAAATTTATAACAAAATTTGCAAATAATTGAATTCCTGTGTTTTTATTATTTATAAAAATAATTAAATGTTTGCATAGAATGGAATCAAATTTTTTTTTAAATAATTGAATTCTTTTGGAAAATTTTATTAAAATAAATATTTAATATCTTTGAATTCAGGAAAATTTTTAAAAATAATTGAAATTCTGACAAGAATTTTATTAAAGTTTTTATAAATAATTGAATTTCGGACAGGAATTTTATTATTTATAAAGATAATTGAAATTTTGGCAAAAATTAAAAAAAATTTAAACTTAGTTGAATTTCTGAAAAAAATTGTATTTATTCTTTTGAAAGTAATTGAATTTCTGCAATAATTTGAAACTTCTCTTATTTCTATTAAAAAATTTTACGAGAATTAAATTTTTTAAATACAAAAATAAATAATTTATTAAATAATTAAATTTTCCTTAAAATTAAATTCTCATACAGAATTTTATCAACAAATTTTTAAATAATAATTGAATTCTTTTGATGAATTTTAAGAAAATTTTTAAGAATAATTATATTTTTTGAGGAATTCAATTAAAATTGTATAAAAAATAATTTAAACCCTGAGACAAGTTTTATTATTTTTCAAAATAATTTAATCAATAAAAAGAATTTTATTACTTATGAAAATAATTGAATCCCTGTAAAAATTTTTATTATTTAGATTATTTATGAAAATAATGGAATTAATGCGAAGAAATTCTTAAAAAATTTGTAAATAATTGAATTCCTGTGGAATTTTTAGTATTTGTGAAAATAATTAAATGTTTGGGTAGAATCATTAAAATTTTTCAAAAATCTTTAAATTTCTTTTAAATTTCTGTAATTAAATTCATTGAAAATTGAAATTTTCTAAAATTTCAAATTGAAACCTTTTGAAGTTCATTTATTTATGAAAATTGTAACTGCAATTATTGCTTCCTCGTGAGGAAGCTTTTTTTTAAATTCAATTAATTTAAAAATATTTAAGTAAAATTATTCATTAAATAGTTTATAATTAATAATTTTATTTTATGATAGTTCGTCAAGTTACTTAAAAAGAAATTCAGAATTTTCTTATATGAATTTTAAAAATTTAATTTTTCCCTGTTCTTTAAATAAAAATCCCTGACTTTTCTCTAATTTCCCTGACAAAAACAAATAAAAAAAAATTTACTGAAATACAAAATTTTAGTAAAATATTTATTTTAAATTTCATACCAAACTTAAAATCGAACAAAAAAATATAAAAATACAAATTAACGAATTTAATATATTTGTATAAAAGATAAAGTTATGAGCGAAATAATTTTACACTCACACGCAAAGTAACAAAAAAAATAAATAAATATAGCGCGCTTGACCTATGAACCGTGTGTTTTAATATACAATATTATATATGTGTACGAACATATTTTCTGGATTTCATTATTTCCAGACCCCTCGCGCGCGCGATGATGATAATAATTATAATAATGCTCAATTTTACTTGCTTTGTTCATTATTCTTGAGTCACTTATTATCATCAATATATTTAAAATTGACAAAAATCATCAAGAAATCAGTAATAATTTTCTTCGCTAAGATCTGACATAAAAATAAATTGAGATCGCAAATTGGACATTGTTACCAGTGTATTAAAAAAAATAAACAAGTGTCTTAACATTTTTTTTTAACCAAAAGACAAAGGAGATAAAATGAACTGTTTAAATAATGATAATCATGACTTAATCAACCAGCCAATAATCAATGATTCAGATGAATTTTCTTCCGCTACTAGGAGCAGTAATCAAAACCGAAATGGTATTGTTTTTTTCGATTTATAAAAAAGAAAAGGAAAATTTTGCATTTTTACCTAATTTTCATTTTTCAAAATAATTTTAATTTAAAAATTAAAAATTTAAATGAATTTCATTGAAAACAATTAAATAAATTTTCGATATATTAAAATAGATCTTTCAAAAAAATGTTTTTTAAAAAATTTTATTTTAATATATGAATTAAAATTATTTTTAAATTAAATTTATTTTTTTTTACATAAATAATAGTTGAATTATTCACTTTTTACACTAAAAAAAAAATTTATTTGACTCAAATATATAACCGATTAATTGACAATTATCAATTAAATATTTAATTCAATCAAATAATATTTATTGGAGTTAATTAAATATTTAATTGAATCAAATAATATTTATTGGAGTTAATTAAATATTTAATTGAATCAAATAATATTTATTGGAGTCAATTAAATATTTAATTGAATCAAATAATATTTATTGGAGTGAATTAAATGGTATTTGCTTTAAATACTGAAATTATTGGTTCAAATACCATTTAATTGACTCCAATAAATATTATTTGATTCATGTAAATATTTATTTGATAATTTTAGTTAATTAATCGGTTAATTGAATTAAATTAATTTTTTATCAGTGTAGGATTAATTATATTTTACTTATAAAAATTAACAATTTTAATATATTGTTAATTTAATTATATTATTTTGAAAAGAGAAATTTTTAATTTTTTCAACCGAAAAGAAATATTGTAGGGGAACATAGTCTAGGTCGGCCACCTTTTTGACTTTTGTTTATAACTTTTTTTTAAAAATGAATTTGGACAATTGAAGTATATGGTTGGAAAGTCCTGTTTAATAGGAACATCTTTTCTGTACAAAGTAAATTGATTGGTTTTAAAATGAAAAAGTTATAAAGATTTAAAAAAAAAAAAATTTGTAGTCGAGGTTGGCCATTACAGTCAAGGTCGGCCATGTTTAAAATTCAAAGGGCATTAATCGTTAAAAAATAAAATAACATGTTTGGAGTTACGGAATATTGATTCTTTATTGTTTACAGTTTGTAACTTAATAAAATAACAAAATAATAACAATAAACAATATAAAAAAATAAATATAAATAAAAAAAAATTCTGCACTAAAATATTAATAAAATTAAATAAAAATATTAATAAGATGATCAATTATATTATGAGTTATACAGAATTGCAGTTTTTGCAAATGAAGTAGCTCGTCCTCAACTTTGCGCATTTTAAACACATAGTGGCCGACCTTGACAGTAAGTAACATTACCGAATTGTTGTAACCATAAAGAAATACGTTTCGGGATTCGATTTTTTACTTTGTTTTCCTTTCAACCATGAGTCCCACAAATTTTCTGCATACTTGCCTTGACGATTCAATTTGTTTTTTATCTTTTATTAATGGTTTTTCACATTATGCACAAAACTTTTTTTGAGCTTTTTTTGTACCGACGTCACAGAAAACACAATTTTCGATCCTCCGAAAATGTAATTGAACAAAAAGTTAGGTTACACTAAGACAAGCTTCGACAAGCATGCGTGTAGGTGGCGCTAGTGAACTTGTCCAAAAAATCGCGATGGCCTACCTAGACAGTAGACCAACCTTGACTACATTCCCCTACTGAAAAAAAAAAAATTTAAATATAAATAAAAACAATTTTTCGGTATTTTCTTTTTTTTTACTATTTATAATTTTCAGGTACGGGATCACTTGGAACAATATTTTTAATTGTTAATGCAACATTAGGTGCTGGTCTTTTAAATTTCCCGGAGGCATTCGATAAATCTGGTGGTATTGCAACGGCAATAATTGTACAATTATTTTTTCTAATTTTCATCACATCGGCATTGGTTGTACTTGCAAATTGCAGTGACATTACGGAAACATGTACAATGCAAAATACATTTGCCGGACTTTGTGGATCAAAGTCATTAATTCTTTGTGGTGTTTGCGTGGCAATTTATAGTTTTGGATGTTGTCTAACATTTCTCATAATAATTGGCGATCAATTCGATCGTGTTTTTGCCACATTTTATGGACTCGACTATTGTCACAATTGGTAAAGAAACAAAAACAAAGTCAAATAGATAAAACAAAAAAAATAAATAGGAAAAAATGAAATAGGAAAAAATTAAAAAAATAAAAATAAATACAAAAAAATAGAAATCTTATAAATAATAAATGAAAAATGGAAATTAAAAATAAGTAAATAAATAAAAAAAAGAAATCAATAATAAATAAATAAAATAAGTATTAAAAAACTTACAATCAAATAATAATGTATAAAAAATATAAAGTTTCCTAATTTTTACAATAATTTTTCTTTTTAAATATTTTCCATTCCAAAATTAATGTATTGAAAATCCATTGAATTCTTGCAAAGAATTTTATCTAAAAATTTGAAAATAATTGAATTCCTTCGAAGAATTTTATTATTTATTATGAAAATAATTAAATTCTTGCCAAGAATTTTATTAAAATTTTTGATAATCTTAATTAAATCTTTTCGAAGAATTTCTTTGAATTTTTTTAAAATAATGAAGTTTTATTATTTTAAATTTAAATTGCATTTAAATTAAAATTTACAATTTTAATTGGATAATTTTGAAAATAATTGAATTTTATAAACAATTTCTTTCAAGTTTTTAAAATAATCGCATTTCTTAATAATTGAAATATTAAACATTTAATTATTGAATTTTATTAAAATATTTAGAAAATAATTATATTCTTCTCAGAATTTTATTACAATTTTCTAAAATAATTTAATTCATTCAAAAAATTTTATTAAAATATAGAAAATAATTCGATTTTTTCGAAGAATATTAACAATTACAAAGATTTTGAAAATAATTGAATTCTTATGGAAAATTTTATAACGAATTAAGAAAAAAATTAAATTCTTTCTTCAAAATTTTATTGAAAATAATTGAATTTTGGCAAAGATTTTACTATTTAAAAAATAAATTGTATTGTTTTGAAAGATTTATTAAAATTTTTAAAAATAATTGAATTGTTTCCATGGATTCATTAATATTTTAGAAAATAATTGAATTATTTCGAAGGATTCATTAAAATTTTAGAAAATAATTGAATTTTTGCAAAGATTTTACTATTTTAAAAAATAATTGAATTTTTTCGAAGGCTTTATTAACATTTTAGAAAAGAATTGAATTATTTCGTGAAATTTTATTGAAAATAATTCAATTTTTGAAAAGATTTTACTATTTAAATAAATAATTGAATTTTTTAAAATTGTAGAAAATAATTGAATTCTTTATTAGAATTTTATTATTTAAAAAAATAATTTAATTGTTTCCAAGGATTTATTAAAATTTTAGAAAATAATTGAATTTTTGCAAAGATTTTACTATTTTAAAAAATAATTGAATTTTTTCGAAGGATTTATTAACATTTTAGAAAATAATTGAATTATTTCGTGAAATTTTATTAAAATTTTGTTGAAAATAATTGAGATTTTGAAAAAAATGTTACTATTAGTAAAAGTAATTGATTTCTTCTTAAGAATGTTTTTCAATAATGAAGATAATTGAATTCTTGCAAATATATTAAAATTTTTGAAAATATAATTAATTCTGAATTAATTGTAAATAATAAATTTTGGATTTTTCTTTAGGTATTTGTCGAGACCATTTATAACGAGTATCACGGCAATAGTTTTTATTTTGCCACTGTCATTTTTTAAACGAATGGACGTTTTGAGTTATGCGAGTTCCATTGGATGCTTAACAATTATCTACGTTGTTTGGATGGTTATTTATGAAAGTTTCGTTAACAATGATAAATTGCCAAAAAAAACAATTCACATTTGGCCCGAGAATTTAACGCAACCACTGCAAATTGTTCCAATAATTTGCTTCGCCTATCAGGTAATTGGAAAAAATTTCTTTAACTTTAAAAAGGATTTTTTTTTCTCAATAAATAAAAAACAAATACTGATTTTTGGAAATAATAATCAAAATTTGGAAATAAATATTATTTTAGAAACAATTTTCTTTAACTGGGGGCGAATATTATCGAGTCTCATTGTTTTAAAATTGGAATTTGTAGCAAAATTCATGTATACAAATTTGTTTTGTTAAAAGCGTTAAAAAATTAAAAGCACATAACCTCAAAAACACCACGAATCACTTGGGGAAGAATCGAAAGAATATTTATTTATGTTCGATGATTAAAAGAAAAAAATAATTATTACACTGTCTGGCGGATGTTTTACATAAAAATTTCCGTTCACTACTTGTAATTTTTCGTCAAAAGTCAAATTGAACGTTCAATGACAGACAAATCGGAAAAAATCCCCGCACAATTACACATTGACTTTTGACACAAAAATATACAAAATCCCGGCACAAAAACGAAAAAATAAATAAGATAAACACAATTATGGATTAAAAACAATTGAATAATTTCTGGATGGAGAAAGATTCGTAAGAGATATGAAGAAAACTTACCCGCAGAACATTGTTGTACCCACGAGCCGAAAATATACGCAATGCTTTTCCCTTTTTTCACCTCTTATTTTGAGACACTTTTTTTCTTCTAGCCTCACATTTTCCAGCATCATAAATTCCAATAAAAGCATTGCAGGTATAATACAATTATTTCACAGGATTCGAAAAACTTTTTGAAGAAATAGCAAAAGTACTGTGTGTGCAACACTCGAGTCCTGACAGGCACTTACAGGCGACTGACGACATAGACACACCGTTAGTCAAACTTAATACTAAAATATTAAAAAACTTTTGACTTTTGTTAATCGGTTACGATTTTAAAAGATCCAATTTTCTCAAGTCTACAGCACTGTCGAAAGAAATACAAATTGTCGCAAGAAAATTTAATAGTTTTTGATAATTACAAGAGGGAGGAAAAACTAAAATGGTCGTGAACTTGACTCTAGTGTTAAAGGGAAACTGGAATTGATGCGCAGAACCCCTGCGCATGTGGCGGGAAATTTGAAATTTATTCCGAATAAAAACGATAATACTCGTATAATTATTACTTTTCTCACTTGTAAAAATTACTAAAATGATAAATAAGTTTTGTAAATATTCCAAAAATCTTTTTTTTTTTTTTTGAGTGAATAATATTTGAGAAAATCGCAAGGAGAAGAATTAATTTTGAAACCTCCCTCAAGTGGTGAATTCACGAACTAAAATGTATAACCGACATCCGGAAAAAAGCGGGAAAATTTGAAAATTAAAAGAAAAAAAAAATTCTTTTTCCAGAGTCACATGACAGCAATACCAACCTACGCATGCATGAAAGATCGTCAATTGAGTAAATTCACATGGTGCGCAATAATCAGTATGATTATTTGCTTTATTGCTTATTCAATTGTTGGAACATTTGGATACATGACATTTGGCGCTGGTAATGTGCCAAGTGATATTTTACAGGGTTACACCGACAAAAGTGTAACTCTAACGTTGGCAATAATAGCGGTTGCTGTAAAAAATTTCACTACATATCCAATTGTTTTATATTGTGGACGTGACGCATTAATGGAATTAATTGGTTGGGATTTAAATAGAAATTTTCTTTCGCGTATTATATTGACTTTAATTTGGTTTTTTATGTCATTGGTCATTGCAATATTAGTGCCTGACATAACACCTGTTATTAATTTACTTGGCTCACTATCGGCTGCATTTATTTTTCTTTTTCCCGGAATTTGTCTATTACAAAGTACCTTAAAGCGGGATCCACAACTTTTTATGAATAAAAATCGTGCTATGATTTTTCTCGCTATTTTAATAACTGCACTTGGTGCACTTGTTTGTGGAATTATTTTTGTCGAATCACTGCAAGATCTTTTTAGCGGGAAATCGTCGTCACTTAAAAAATCACTTACTTCCGGTTTGAGAATTTCATTAGGCAAAAGTTTGTGTGTTTAATATTAACATTCGTTAATTATAATTAACGAATTATAAAAATAATTTTTTTTAAAAATATTTAATTATTATAAAAAATCAATTTTATATAAAAATTCGCAAATTAATTAGAAATTCAATTAATTAGTTATTTATCTAATTAATTGATAAATAAATAATTAACTAAATTGTTATCCTATATAACAAAATAAATTTTTGATTAAATAAGTAATTAAGTAATTATTCGACTAATAATTAAAATTATTCATTAGTTACTTAAATAAATATTTCATAATTACAAATTTTAATATTTATTTAGTAACATAACAAAAAATTTGAAGAGAATAATTGAATTTTTTTGAAAAATTTTATTAAAAATTAAAAATAATTGAATTCCTTAGAAGAATTTTTTTATTTATGAAAATAATTGAATTCTCACGAAGAATTTTACTATTTATAAAAATAATTGAATTATTCCGAAGAATTTATTAAAATTTTAGCAAATAATTGAATTCTTTTAAAAATTTTATAACGAATTTAGAAAAAAAACTCTTTCGCAAAATTTTATTGAAAATAATTGAATTTTGGCAAATATTTTACTATTTAAAAAATTAATTGAATTGTTTTGAAAGATTTATTAAAATTTTTAAAAATAATATTGAATTGTTTCAAAGGATTTATTAACATTTTAGAAAATAATTGAATTCTTTCGTGATATTTTATTGAAAATAATTGAATTTTGCAAAGATTTAATATTTAAAAAATAATTTAATTGTTTCGAAGGATTTATTAAAATTTTAGAAAAGAATTGAATTATTTCATGAAATATTATTAAAAATAATTTAATTTTTTTAAAAGATTTTACTATTTAAATTCACAATTGAATTTTTTCGAAGAATTTTTTAAAATTGTAGAAAATAATTGAATTTTTTAGAAGAATTTTATTATTTAAAAAAATAATTTAATTGTTTCCAAGGATTTATTAAAATTTTAGAAACTAATTAATTTTTTTTCTGAAATTTGAATTAAAGTTTTGTTAAAAATAATTGAATTTTTGCAAAAAATTTTACTATTTATAAAAATAATTGAATACTTCCGAAGAATGTTATTATTTATGTAAAAATAATTGAATTGTTGAGAAGAATTAATTAAAATGAGTAATTAAATTTAAAAAAAGTAGATAATGAATTTTAAAACAAAATTCATAAATATTTAAATTAATATTTATGTTATATAACTAATAATTATTTAATTAATCAATAAAGGAATATTCAAATTTTCGTTTATTTGATTAATTTAGAAAAAAAAATTTAACTTAATAATTAATTATTTAGTCGTTACTTAATTAATAATTAATTATTTTGTAACTTTACTAATTACTTCATTAAAAGTTTTTGAATAAAATCTAAAAAAGTGTAAGAAATTTATTAATTATAAACTGAAAAAATAATTTTTGTGTTAATAAACTAAAAGAAATAAAGAGAAAATCACATTTGAACGTAAAATAAAAATTTGTGAATAATATAAAAATTGTTATCGTCAAATACTCATGTTTTACTGTTTAAGACTGATGTAAATAAATTTTTTTTTTATTTTAGAAAAAAGGCAAATATATTTTGTAACAAGCAAGGTTTTTTATTGTTTAAAAAAAAAGTTGAGCGAATAAAATTACTTATAACTTTCGTTGTATACTTTTAATCATTTCATTCCTTTCTTTTTTTTTAAATACTTTCTTTAAATACTATTCTTTCACTATATTTCTCTCTCAATGTATTAAACTACATTTCTCTTTTTCTCTCTTAACTTTGGTTTCACTTTTTAAAAATCGAACAATTAATTACAATAATAATTAATTAATAATTATAGAATAATTAATTAATTGTATAATTGAATAATTAATTCTATTATTGAATAATTAATTGTTCGATTTATTTCTATAAGTACATAATAGAATTTTTTCTCTTTCTCTCTCTATATATATTTTTTAATTGTTTAAAATGTGGGACGTTACCTTGAATTTATTTACACCAGGGTCTAAAAAAAATAGACTTGGACATTGACTGTTGGGAATTTCTTTGAGATCACGACGATATTGTATTTTGTTGAAAATCGTGAATAATAACTTTATCGAGATCAATGACTTTTTCAATGTTTGTTTTGCAGAAAAAGCACTCTCTACTATTCAATAGATGATGATCAATGCAAGCACGACACGATTGATGATTGCATGGTTTAAATGTTGCCGCAATTGGAAATGCGTAGCAAATTGTACATGTATTTTCATCGTCGCTTGTTAATTTTGTCTCTGGTAAATTTCGACTAACACGATCTAAATAATCGATCATTAATCGTATCCGCGATATTTCATCGTCCGTCACATCGTTTTTGTCTGGAAAAAAAAGAAAATTTTCCCAATTAATAAAAAATAGGATGAAATTAATTTAAATTAAATTAATAAAAAAAATTTTAAATTCTATTATTTTTAAAATTGCTAATTTTTTTTTAAAAAAAGAAAGTAAGAAGTTAGTTAATTGTTGAGCAAGTTCAATAAAATTATAATTATGGTAAAATTGTTTTTAATTTAACTGGAATTTTTTACCACATAATTCAACAAAAATACAAAGAAAAGTACTTACAGTCGGCGAACGAGAAAGGTTTGACATTTTTCGATTTTGTATTTTTGACTTTCGACTCGCCGAGAACGTAACTGAGAGAGCTCATTTGAAAACTCGGTTCCATTAGAAGAGTTCTTGTAATTCTGGGCATTTCTCCATTTTCTGTAAATTGGAAACATATTTTAATTCTTGTGAAATTAATGCTTTTGTTAATCAAAATTAATTACTATTTGAATTAAATTTAACCATTAATAACAAAATGAGAATAAAAAAGAAATAGAAAATTAAAGGATTTGATTGTCTGTACGTACTGACAACGTCGTTTATTTCGTCCTCGAGGAGAGCCAATAAAATACCAATTACAACCGCCAATATTGGAAAATGATCGACTTTGTCCAGATCGGGAATAGCCATTAATACCACGTGTTGAAAACTACTCGTCTGCGAACTCACTCTGTTCAAAATGTTACACAATAACTGAAATTGAAAAATAATATTAGTCTTCAAACCAATTTTATTACATTTTTAATTTTTTCAATTTTTTTTTTGTTCTTATTTCTTTCTTACTTATAATTTTTATTATAAAATTAAATTAATTATTTAGACAAGAAAACGTGAATAATACTTTTACCTGACAAAGACGAGCTAATAAATTATCGGTAAAAACATTTTTGGCGATAGTTGAAAACATTTCCAAAACTCTGAGTAATGAAATTGCCAATTCAAAGCAAGTGGCTCCAACTTTTAATTGTCGTGACTCGATGAAAACGGTATCGGGACGCAGTGAAGCATTGTGAATTTCCTGTATCATTCCAATAAATTCGGAAAAAGCCCAATTCAATTGATTTAACAGTGAATTAATGAATTGCATCGATCTCTGTGGATTATTGAGCAAAGCATCTCGCACGTGCTTTTGAAACATTGGCGACGGGCACGGCTCTGAAATACGTCAAGGAAAATTATTAAAATAAAATAATATTAAAATTAAATTACTATTAAAACAGGATTGCCACAGATCATCGCAGAATTTCAATTTTACTTTTAATACGATTTTAATTATTAAACTCCTTGAAAAATGTAATTATTCTTAAATTTTTATTAAAATTCTTCGAAAAAATTAAATAATTTAAAAATTTGTTGATAACATTCTTTATCATTCTTTATTTGTCAACAAATTTTAAATAATTGAATAATAATTGAATTTTTAAGACGAAATTTGAATGAAATTTTTAAGAATAATTACATTTTTTTTTATAAATTTCTTAGCAAAATTCAATTATTTTCATAAATAAACTCAAAGCAGAATTTCAATTATTTTTAATATAATTTTAATCGCATTTATCGAAAAATATCATTATTCTCAAAAATTTTATTAAAATTTGTCGAAGGAATTCTCAATTATTAAATAGTTTGTTGAAAAAATTCTTTATAAGAATTCAATTTTGAGAAACATTCAATTCTTCAATAAATCATTGAATTCTTGCAAAGAATATTATCAAAAAATTTAAGAAAAATTGAATTCCTTAGAAGAATTTTATTATTATTTATGAAAATAATTGAATTTTTGAAAATAATTTTATCAAAATTTTTTAAAATCATAATTAAATTCTTTTGAAGAATTTTTATAAATTATTTTAAAATATTAGAGTTCCTTGAATAATTTTTGTTGAAAATTTTGAAAGTAATTGAATTCTATGAATAATTTCTTTCAAGTTTTTAAAATAATTGTGTTTCTTAATAATTCAAAATAAACATTTAATTATTGAATTTTATTAAAATTTTTAGAAAATAATTCAATTCTTTTTAGAATTATATTACAATTTTCTAAAGTAATTTCATACATACAAGCAATTTTATTAAAATATACAATTAGTTATTAAAATTTGAGATAATAATTAAATTTTTTTGAAAAATATTATTGTAAATTAAAAAAAATTTAGTTGTTTGGAAGTAGGATTTATTAAAATTTTAGAAAATAATTGAATTCTTTCGTAAAATTATATTAAAAATTTATTGAAAATGATTGAATTTTTGCAAAAAATTTTACTATATATATAAAAATAATTGAATTCTTCAGAAGAAAGTTATTATTTATGAAAATAATTGAATTCGTGCGAAGAATTATATTAAAATTTTTGAAAATATAAACAATAAATTCAATTATTTTCAAAAATTATAAAAATTCCACAGGAATTCAATTAACAAATTTTTTTTAAATGTCTTCGCAATAATTCAATTATTTTCTTAATTATAATAAAATTTTTTTTAGGAATTTAATTATTTCCATAAATAATCCAATTCATCGGAGAATTTCAATTTTTTTTTAATATAATTTTAATCAAATTCCTCGAAAAATGTAGTCATTCTTAAAAATTTTATTAAAATTCGTTAACAAAATTCAACTATTTAAAAATTTTATGATAAAATTCTTTATAAGAATTAAATGTTAAGAAACATTCAATCATTCAATAAATTATTTTTTTTTTGTATTTAAATAATGGAATTCTCGTAGAATTTTTTTAATAAAAAATGGTTTAAAAATGAATTTTAGTGTAAATTTTAGATACTAATTGAATATTAAAACCAGTATAGCGTGAATTTTTAGAAATAAATTAATTTTGAAAAGGTTTTTAATTAAAATCTTTGAAAATTTGAATTTTTATACTTTTAACTAACAATTCTGTATAATTAAAAAATTTTTTTTTTAAATAATTGGTTCTTTCAAAGAATTAAAATTAAATTCTTCAGATTAATTACATTTTTTGAAAAATTCCTGTAAAATTATATTAAAAATAATTGAAATTCTGCAATGAATTTTATTATTTATGAAAATAATTGAATTATTGAGAAAAATTATTAAAACGTTTAAAAAGAATTAAATTTCTGTGAAAAATTTTGTTATTTTTGAAAATAATTGAATTCTTTATAAGAATTTTATCAAAACATTGTTTTAAATAATTAATTTTTTCGAAATATAATAAATATTATCAAAATTTTATTATAAAAATTGAATTCTTGCCAAAAACTTTATTTGTGAAAATAATTTTTATCAATCTAACAATTCTGAAAAATTATTTTTTTTTTTGAATTAAAGAAATTCGTAAATAAATGTATTAGAACAGTTTTTTGAAATCTAATAATTTTTAGAGTGAATCAGAATATTCTTTAGAGTCAGGGAAAAAGTTAAAATTTTGGCTGAAAATCAGGAGAAAACAAAATTAAATTGTTGTGACAATCCCTGTAAAATTAAAATTAAATTATTATTAAAAATCTTACTGATCGACTGTGAAATCGTTTCCTGTGGAAAAATCTTCGGTCCAACATTATGCTCCATATGGGGACTGATTTTATAGCGAAATGCAAAACCATTTCCCTGCCAGAAACGCACTAAAATCCAATTTGATTGTGCCCATGCACGATTTTCATAGGGACGCAATAAACTCGCGACAACATTCATTTTCGATTCCTCGTCAACACTCTCCATTGCCTTTAATGTCAATGGTTTCGAGACAAATGACGCCAATGTCAATACCAATGTATCCTTGGCGTTCGCTTGAACAATTCGTGAATCCAAAAAATGATCGCACAAAAATTGCGCAACATCGCGTAGAATTTCACGATATTCGGGAATTCTTTCAATTGGCACTGTGGGATGTACATGTGATCTCAGTCCAAGACTCAAATCAGCCAATGCTTCGAGATAGAAATCGGGAACAAAACTAAACATATCGCCCTCTTCACTCGCCGTTCTCAATGTAAGGAGAATTGATTTCAATAGCCAAGAGAGTTGCAATTGTTTTTCTTTCGTATAAACAGCAGCTCGTACCCATGCCATGTGTCGCGCTTGTTCCGCTAATTTTGTATCGAAAATTTCCATTGTCCTGAAAATTAGAATCATTCAAAAATTAATTCTGAATTTAAAACGAATTTAAATTAAATTAAAATTAAATAAATAAAAATACCTGAGCAACTGCTCGCGAACGGACTCCGATTCGGGATCATCTTTTTTCTCGACAATTTTCAATCGTGACTTAATTTCGCCCATTGCCTTTATGTACTCGTCCATACTGTCACGTAGACTTGCGACTTTTGCAATTTGTTTCTTGGCGGCAACGTGAAAAAATAATACAATTCCATCGAGTAGCTCGAGTAGAGAGAGGGCAGGATTTGCGGGACCAAGACGCATTGGTGAACGATCCTCGCGACTGTAGGGAAAATAGCCGAGTCTCTCCCACAATGGAACAACGCTATTGCCCATATTAAATATTCGCGCAACTGCCGGAATAATAACGGGCATATCGGTAATTCGATTTGACGTTCCAACGAATGTTGACGTTGTTTCTTGATTTTGTTCCAAGCCAACGATAATCTCATGCTCCGGTCCCAATAAATGTATCAATTCATTTCGATAGGTTTTATTTAAATGCGATATCACACCGCCGAGTCGATCAATTCCACTGTAATTTACTGATCCATCGTAAAATGTTCTGGAAAAGGAGAATTTTTATATAGAAAAAGTAATTATTATTATTATTAATATTATATGGGTGAGAAAAATATCATTCTTTCCGAATCAAATTTAAAAAATTTCCGAAATTTGACTCGGAAAGAATGATTTTTTCTCATTTATACAATTTTCGACGGAGTGATAAATTCTACTTTATATATTGTTAACATTATTATTATAATTTTTATTTCTTTTACTAGCAAATATTACGCATGGAACGTAATTTTCCATTTAGTAAAATATAGTATTTTTTATTTAGTAAAATATTTAGTAAAATTACAATATTTTTTATTTTCAAATATAAATTTTTAAATAATTTCAAAATGAAAATTTAAAAAATTTGTCGAAAGAGTTCAATTATTTCCTAAAATTTTAATAAATCCTTCGAAACATTTCAATTTTTTTTTAATAGTAAAATCTTTGCAAAGATTCAATTACTTTCAATAAAATTTCACGAAAAAATTCAATTATTTTCTAAAATTTTAATAAATCCTTTAAAATAATTCAATTATTTTTAAAAATTTTAATAAATTTTTCAAAACAATTCAATAATTTTTTTAAATAATAAAATCTTTACAAAAATTTAATTATTTTCAATTAAATTTCACGAAAGAATTCAATTTTTCTTTAAATTCCTTATAAAGTTATCCAAAAGAATTCAATTATTTTCAAAAATTTGAATAAATCCTTCGAAACAATTCAATTATTTTTATAAATAGTAAAATTCTTTGCAGAAATTCAATTATTTTTATAAATAATAAAATTCTTTGCAAGAATTCAGTTTCTTTAATTTTTAATAATATTTTTCAAAAAAATTCAATTATTTTCTAAAATTCTAATAAATTATTCGGAAGAATCCAATTATTTTTATAAATTAGTAACATTTTTTCCACAGACACAATTATTTGCATAAATCACAAAATTCTTCGTAAGAATTCAATTATTTTCTAAAATTTTAATAAATCCTTCGAAGCAATTCAATTATTTTCTTAAAAAGTAAAATCCGAGGAAAGAATTCAATTTTTTTTAAAAAAATCAATTATTTTCTAAAATTTTAATAAATTCTTCGAAACAATTCAATTATTTGTATAAATAGGAAATTTTTTTGCAAATATTAAATTACTTTTAATATAATTTTAATAATATGTTATGAAAGTTGAAAAATATTCTTTGTTAAATTCAAGTATTTTTAGAATTTTCAATTAAAATTATTCAAAAAACTACATTATTTTCAAAAAAACTTAAAGAAAGAAACTTAAATTCTTCGAAAGAATTTAATTATTATTTACACAAACTCTAATAAAATTAGTTTAAAAGAGTTTAATTTTCAAGTTTATATTTTCAATTACTTTCAAAATTTTCAATTAAAATTATTAAAGAAACTATTATTTAAAAAAAAATTTAAAAAAAATTCTTCAGAAGAATTTAATTTTTCATTTTCAAAAAATTTAATAAAATTCTTCGCAAGAATTCAATTGTTTTCTTAAAATAATAAAATTCTTCGAAGGAATTCAATTAATCTCAAATTTTTTGATAAAATTTTTTGCAAGAATAAAATTATTCAATCATTTAAAAATATTTTTAAAATATGAAAAATTTAAAATACATTGATTTTTAAACTTGAAAATATTTTTTAAAAAAATTACCTATTAAAAATGTTAGGAAACAAAAAAGCAAACAGCAACTAAACTAGAAGATTATTATTACATATAATAATAATAATTTGTAAAAACCTGCAGGGAATGCAAACGGGATTTGTGCCAACTTCAGCGTCCCAAAGAATACGAAAAGCGACGAGCAATCGATGAAAGCAACATAGAGTTATTGGTAACGGTGTTTTTAGTGCTGGAATCGTTTGAAAAACTCCCTAAAAAAGAAATAAATTTTTTTAAACGTAAAAAATTATATTCTTTCTATTTTATATGCATTTTGTTATTAACTCTCGTTTTCAAAGATTAAAGGAAAAAAACAGAGAAAAAAAACAGAAGCAAAAAATTTATTTTTTGCTTTTTTTTTCTCTGTTTTTTTTCCTTTCAATCTTTGAATAAATAAATACGGTTAATAAATAAATGACAAACCAAAAGTAAATGAGTTAAAATTTCCCTTAGAAAATAAATAAATAAAAATATTTAAACATCAAACAATAAATAAAATTAATTGCATTTGCAAATATTCGCCAAACAAATACGAGAACTAATAAAATACGTTTATTAATAAAAAAAGCAACGAAACTAAATTCTCCTTATTCATAAAGAAAAATAAACGAATGAATAAATAAAAAAGATAAATAGAATAATAAAATATCTAAATTATCAAAAATAAATAAGAAAAACCAAAATTTTAAATCAATAAAGTAAATTCTTTGAATGAATAAGTAAAAATCAATTAATAAGTAATTTCGTTTTATAAATAAGTAATTAAACAAATAAATACGAACCCGAATTGAGATTAAATTTTCGTGAACAAAACTTCGAAATTTTCGCAGAAAAATTGTTCGTGACGTTGGCAATTTTTCCGTCCCGTCGCTATTGTCCAAAAGCGTAACTAGCAATTCCACTTGCAATGCTTCCACCTCTAGTGTACAAAAAAGGAGAAAAAACTTTGTAAAAAAACTTACAAAGTAATTTTGCATTTCAATAAAAAATATGCAAATAATTTACAAAAAAGTAAATTATAAATCAACTTGATTAAACTACAAAAATAAGAACAAAACCTATAAATAGAGAAAAGTTGTTTTTAAAAATTAAAATCAATTTTCGAGTATTCAAAAATTATTTTAAATATTATTTATGTACAAAAAGAAGATTAATTTTCTTACCAGAAACTGAGATTTCAATTAATTCACAGGCACGTCGATAGCGTTCATTATTATCCTCAACATTGGGATCAACCGGATCAGTTTCCCACCAAGTCTCATTGACAACTTCCGCCAAGCCAATTTCATCGAGTGGCTTAACATGAACAAAATTTGCAAATCGCACCCTATCGAAGAGGACATTTTGCAATAAATGTCGTCTTGTTTTTCCATGTCGACAAAAGCATGTCAATAGTGCGAGACTTTTGCATTGATCCGGATATTCGAGGAGCAATGAAACGTGACGAAATTCAGATAGTAAATAAATAACCGTACTCTCGAGGCAATTCTGAATTTCCTGTGTTTCCAAAAATGTCCACAATAAATCCAAACAAATGATTAATTCACAATCGTTAATTTCCTTTTTCCTTGATGTCAATGACGATTCTTTTTTTATACCGCAAAGTCGTCTTACGAAAGGTACAAAAACCGCCACTGTCACATAGGGTTCTCTGCAAAAAAAAAACGAAGAGATAAATATTACGGGGTTGACACAAAAAATTTAGTTTTCTTTCTCCCTGAATTTCAGGAAATAATTTTGATTCTTTATCTGTACAGATAAATGAAATTTAAATAATTTATATTAAATTATTAAATATTATTGAAAAAAAAGTTTAAAAAATTATAGATAATTTTTTTTGCTTTTCTTACTTGAGTAGTGGTCCAAGATGTTTGAGTATCAATCGAGCGAGACAGAGGAGAAAAGCGCGAACACTCATTGCATTGTCATTGGAGAAATTTTTACCCTGCGACTCTTTCAATTGACGTGTTTGCTCGACTAGATTTGCAAACCATTTGAAGAGAATTTTCCCCTTCTCGAGAAATTCACGCGGAAGTGCTTGCAATGGTTCGTAACCATCGACAGGATAATGAAATGGTGTTGCGCCAAAATTTGCCGTTAAATTTTCACTTAGCGCCAAACTCACTGTGGGAAAATAAGCACAACCTGAACCCATTGTGATATTTTCGAAAGCACGACCCAATGGTCTTCCATTTCTATAAAAATCAATTGTTCCCAAGTCCATGTCGAGTGTGCAACCAATAATATCGCCAGAGAGCCATGGTTCACCATATTTTTCCGGTGCGACATTCCATTTTTTTATTCGATTCCCGTCGTAGGCGTAGGAACACGGATCATCACCTGGAATTTAATTTATAAAAGTAAAAATTTTTATTTAAATAATATTAATTATACTTTTCCATTCGTTACTTTTTTCTTTCGATTTCTTTTGTTTATTTACCGTTTTCTCTATTTTATTTACTCATTGTCAAATAATTAATTCTCGGAAGTAAAAATAGAAAAAACTGATTTTATTTCTATTTCCTTATTTTACGTTTTTATTCCTTGATTTTAAATAAAATTTAAAGAAATAAAATCGACAATTATATTTTTAATAAATTAAGTATCGAAAAATAAATAAAATTAGTAATGTAATTGAATTGTAAAATCAATAAATTATAAAATTATAAATTTTATATTATAAAATTAATAAATTATTATCAATAAAAAAGCATTAAAAGTGAAATATTTTACCAACTCCGGCTACGTGATTGAATTTACTCTTTGAAGTGCCCCAGCCAACTTGCATAATTCCTTTTGTTCCAAGTTGCAATTCGTACATCCATTTGCCCTTGAAAACGGCGACATTCGCACGAATTGTACTAAATGTTCCCTGAGAATTAACACTCAAACGATCCGGTGATAAATGATATTGTCCAGGTGCGCTTGACACTTCAAATTTCACAATATCCGGACCCAATCGACCTTCACGTGAATCTTTGAATTTTTCCAAAACTGTTTTTCTTGATAATATCGTTTTTACATACTCGTCAACTAAATTCACACTCTGAACAGTTCTGAAACAGTAAAAATGAAAAAATTGATAAAATTAAAAATGAATAAAAAATAAAAGTAGAAAAAAGTAAAAAAGAGGAAAAAAATAAAGTAAAATAAACTAAAATAAATAAACAGATAAATAAAATTCAGTCATTAACTAATTTTTTTATTATTTAATATTTTTAAAAATATTAATAAAAGTTATTGCAATAAATTCAATTATGTATTCAGTATTTACATAAATAATACAATTTTTCACAGAAATTTGATTATTTTGAAAAAAAAATTTAATAAAATTCTTAGCAGGAATTCAAATATTTACATAAAAAATAAAATTCTATGAAGGATTTCAATAATTTTTTAAAAATTTTAATAAAATTCTTCGCAAGAATTCAATTATTTTCATAAATAACAAAAATCATTGTAGAAAATAGAAATTCAATTATTATTCAAAAATTTTATAAAATTCGTTGAAAAAATTCAATTATTTTTAAAATTCTTTAAAATTTTTTAGCAAAAATTCAATTATTTTCATAATTAACAAAATTTTGTGCGAAATTTTAATTATTTAAATAAAATTCTTCACAAGAATTGAATTATTTTCATAAACAATAAACTTTACAAAGGATTTCAATTATATCCAAAATTTTAGTAAAATTCTTCACAAGAATTCGATTATTTTCAGAAACAATAAATATTATTCGAAGGAATTCCATTATTTTTGAAAAATATCTTTAAAACTTCTAATAAACTTTTAATAAAATTTCTTAGCATAAATTCAATTATTTTCTAAATTTACAGAATTCTGTGCAGAATTTTAATTATTTTCCAAAATTTAAATAAAATTCTTTGCAAGAATTTTATTATTTTCATAAACAATAAATTCTATAAAGAATTTTAATTATTTACTAAAATTTTAATATAATTTTTCGCAAGAATTCAATTATTTTCATAAAAATAATATTCTATAAAGGAATTAAATTATTTTCAAAAGCTTTTAATAAAATTCTTCGCAGGAATTCAATTATTTAAAAAAAAATTTTATAAAATATGTTTGAAGAATTTAATTATTTTAAAAACTTCTAATAAAACTCTTCTCGAAATTTCAATTATTTTCATAAAAATAAAATTTTATAAAGAATTTCAATTATTTTCAAAAGTTTTAATAAAATTTATTTAAAAAAATTTCACTTATTTTTATGATTAACAAAATTCTGCGCAGAATTTTAAATATTTTCAACAATTTAAATAGAGTTCTTCGTAAAAATTTAATTATTTTCATAAACAATAATTTCTATGAAGGATTTCAATTATATTCAAAAATTTAAATAAAATTCTTCAAAAGAATTCAATTATTAAAATTCAATTTTATTATAATTCTTCAGAGAAATTCAATTATTTTCATAAATAAAAAAATTTTTCGGAGGAATTAAATTATTTTTAATAACATATTAAATTGATTTTCTTGTAAAACTTTAATTATTTTCCAAAATTCGAATGAAATTTTGCGAAGCAGTTGAATTATTTTGAATAGAATTTAAAAAAAAAATTTTTGATATAATTGAATTATTTTCAAGAATTTTAATAAGAATGAAATTAATTTGAGTAGAATTTTAATTAAATTTCTTTGAAAGAATTTAATTATATTATAAAGTTAAATTGAATGCGAATATCCTTAATTTAAAAATTTAAAAAGAATATAAATTTTTCCTATGTAAAAAATAAAGAAGAAAATAAATAGTTCATGAAAAAAATAACCAACAAAATAAATATTTCCTGAGAAAAATAACCAAACAAAATAAAGTTTTTCTGAAGAAAGGAAATATGTAATCAAGAAAGTAAAATTTTTAGAAATGGAATAAAAAATACTTTTAAAGAACCTAATTAGATCAAAATAAATTCTCAACTATTTAGAATATTGTTTAACTTTTTAATTAATATATGTACTAAAAATTTTAATAAAAACCTGGAAAATGTTGCATTGTCCTTTAATTTTCCAGTGCTTAATGTCTCCGAAAAATCCAAACATTCTTTTCCAAAAATATTTCTTAGCATTTCCTCAGGCCTCATTGTTGATGTAATAAAAATTTCAACTGTAAATAAATAAACGAAAAATTATTTTTCAAAAACCCCACCCCCAATATATTAATTTTAAATAAATAAAATTTTCGAAACCAAATATATATAAAAATTTTTAAGCGTTAAATAATTTAACTGAAATTGTCAATTTTCAATTGCAATATAAATTTTGATCACATAAAAAATGTAATAAACAATAATTATAAATTTAATTATAATTTAAGTAATAAATAAATTATTATGAATAAATAGATAATTTATTATTTTATCAAACTTACTAAATATTTATTCAACTCAGCGGAAAACATATATAATCAAAGAAAATCAGCGTATACAAATTACAATAAACAAAATAATTATAAATAAATGGTGAAAGAAGAGAAAAAAGAAAAATATATTAAATCGAACTCTAGAAATTAGGGAATTAAAGTAATTCTATTTGACAATTAGGGTACTTACTTTTTTTTTAACTTGAAAATATTTTGCATTTTATGGATAAATTGGATAAATTTTAGGTTAGAAAACCAAAAAGAGAACAAGAAATTCCAAATATTTTTGACATTGCAAAAAAATCATATTTTAAAAACATTGTCAATTAAAATAGAAATAAGACTTTAGAAGATATAAAATTTAGTTTAAGTTTACACTGTAATTTTGTTATTCGAGAAGAATGAAACAGCTGATGTGATTGCTGTCAAAATAAGACTTGTCCGCCATTTGCAATTTTTTCAATTACCTATTTTCACCGACAGATGACACTTATTTTGGCGCAAATTTACAGGGGTGGGTAGACTACAATTAAACACGATATACTCTATAAGGGCGAATTTACAACAAAGTTTTGAGAAAACAAAAAATATATCAACAAAAAAAAATTGTTAATATAATTTATTCTTTGTAAATTAAAATCAATTGTTATGAATTTCGAATTTACAGACATGAATTTTTTCTTTAGTTTGGTAAATATTTTATCTAATTTATTATCTTCCTTGATAAATTTGTAAACGAACCCTTAAGCGATCTAAAATTAATTACTTCTTAGTTCTTACACAACCCTGATTATTTGTGTCTAACTTCAAGTGATGACAGTAAACAGTCTTTATAAACAAAATTGTTATAATTATAGTTTATTTATAAAATTTATGATATATTCGATAAATAATTACGTTATTTTCATGCGAAAGAATCGAAAAAAGTGTAAGAAAGTTTTACAAAACTTACTTTCTCGATTTCCTCTTGTTAGAATTTTTATATTTTGAATAAAAACATCGAACATCTCGTTACATTTTTGTGAGAAGGGAAAAATCTATACACAATGCAAATTTTTAAAGAAATGAAACGTCCGTTTCATATAAAGGCAGATGAAGAGGATTATAAGAAATATTCTACTTTAATTGAGGTAAGAAATCAAATATGTTATAGTCTTTATTTTTAGTTTCTCGTTTCGAGGTTATGTTTTTCGAAATTCTTTTAATTATATGTTTTAATTATTGATTATTATTATTTATTGTTTCAAATTTATTTTATTTTGTTATAATTCACTATTATTTACTATATTTACTACTATTATCATTATTGAATGATTTTAATTTTCTTTTATAATCTTTAAAATCAGTAAAAGAAAATTTAATTAACCTTCGAATTTCAGACAAATGGGGGACGAATTTCAAAAAAGTTGACATTCAGTTCTTTTACAATAACATCGGAAAAATATCGTAATTATACAAAGGATACATTTAAATTAAAATATGTAACTGATTGCATTAAGAAGCAAGAATTATTGAATTATTATCTATACAGGTATTTATTACAATTTTTCTAAACTTATTTTACTAAACTAATTTTTTCATACTCAATAATATGTATTTGTTTTTAAATATTTTTTACAAAATAATTTATATCAAAAAATTTAATAGAAATAATTTATAATTTTAATATTTGATTAATATTTTAATTATTAAATGTTTACAATTAATATTATTCTTATTATTATATTATTATTATTACAATTAATATTTAACAAATTTATAGAAATTGTTTATGGAATAAAGTTCATAGAAATTATTTATGGAATAAAATTTATACCAATTTAGGGAATTAAATTTATAGAAATAATTATCGTAATTAATAATTTTTTAGTTGGAGTATAAATTATCGAGAATATTGTGGAAAATGTCTTTTTTTCTATAAAAGTTACACCTGCCTTGGGTAAGATTTAATTTTATTTTGATTTCTACAATTTAAAATTTAACATTAGAATTTAATTCTAAACACAATTTTATTTTTTATCTACTTCTTTCATAGTTTTAGAAAATAATTAATTTTATCTACTTTCTTTCATAGTTTTAGAAAGTAATTAATTTTGTCATTTTCTGTTTAGTCCTTGTGATGATTATAAAGTAAATTCGTTGGAAAAATTTGCAAAAACTGCTTCAGAAGCAAATAATTTGCAATTAATTCCTCCACCAATTAATTCACCACAACCAAGTACATCGAAACAAAATGGTAAATATTACATAAAACAAAATGATAAAAAATAAAATCGAAAGTAAAAAAACTATTTTAAAAAGTCTCTAAATTCTATTTTGGAATATAATTTGAAAATTATTTATTATTAACTATTTAAAAATATTTTAAAATGGTAATTAATATTTTAACACGATATATATTTTTTATATAATATTTAATATTTTAAATACGATTTTCAAAATTTTTTCGAAAACAATTTCAGTTTTTCAAGAAGATGAACGAGGAAAAGGAGCGAACAATGAGAGAAGAGAGGAAATTAAAGAAAGTGCAAAAAAGAAGAAGCAAAATATTTCAATTGAAAGGGGAAATTTTTCGAAAATAGTTTCCGATTTTCCAAAAGATGAACGAAAAAGAAGAGCAGCGAATACTTCAAGAGAAGAAGAAATAACAGAAAGTGTAAAAAAGAAGAAGCAAAAAATTACAAACGAAGGGGATAATTTTTCAAAATTAACTGCAGATTCACGAGAAATTGAACGAGGAGAAGAAAACATTGAAAGAAGAGGGGAAATTACAGGAAGTGCAAAAAAGAAGAAGCAAAATATTACAAACGAAGGGGATAATTTTTCAAAATTAACTGCAGATTCACAAGAAATTGAACGAGGAGAAGAAAACATTGAAAGAAGAGGGGAAATTACAGGAAGTGCAAAAAAGAAGAAGCAAAATATTACAAACGAAGGGGATAATTTTTCAAAATTAACTGCAGATTCACGAGAAATTGAACGAGGAGAAGAAAACATTGAAAGAAGAGGGGAAATTACAGAAAGTGCAAAAAAGAAGAAACAAAATATTACAAGCGAAGGGGATAATTTTTCAAAATTAACTGCAGATTCACGAGAAATTGAACGAGGAGAAGAAAACATTGAAAGAAGAGGGGAAATTACAGAAAGTGCAAAAAAGAAGAAACAAAATATTACAAATGAAAGAGAAACTAAAATAGACACAACTCCAAGAAAGAAAAAACAAATTAACTATAAAATAGAAAAATGTTATTTAAACATAAGTAGCAATGGATTAATAAGTCTACGAGATAATGTTACCGAAAAAATAGGAAACTTATCCACAAAATCAAATCAAGAATTAGAAAATCACTCACCAGAGGAACGACTAAAATTGAAAGAACCTACAGAACAAAAAATTCAGGAACAATTGAAATTTTATAATATAAAACCCTGTTGGATTCTATTAGAAAGATTAAAAATTCACCAAAAGATGAAGCATGCAAAAAAAGGAATTTCCACATTCAACGAATCGGAAACTGGAAGTGAATTAATAAATGAAAGTAATTCAGAAAATACACCAATTCAACAAATTTCATCCCTAGATGGATCAAAAACAGATCTTGAATTCGGTATTTTCGAAAATCAGCTGAAAATAACAATCGATAAGCCAATTGAACAAAAAAAGAGAATGTATAAAAAAACATTGAAAAGAATTAAAATGCTGGAGAGATTAAAAGGAAAAAAAACAATTTTACCAAGTGATAATTCAAACAGTGATTTAGAATCAAAAACGAAAAAAAGTATTTCCCCCCCTAAAATTCAAGAAGAAAATACGAAAAAACGAAATATTGGGCCAACTGAATCGGAAACGGAATCCGACATTGAAATTGCTGTCAATAAATCGATAATATCGAAGAATAGGAAAAATAGAAAAAAACTCCGTTCAAGGACAAACCACATAAGCAGTGATTCAGAAACCGAAAGCGATGGAAATAGTGCAAAAAAACAGATATTGTCAAAAGATAATAATACAAATGCAGAAATTGTTTCCTCTAAATTGAATAATTACGGAGAATTGAAAATTTCCAAAACAAAATTGAAACCATCATCTGAAAAACAAGTATTTAAAATAAATATTGATATTGAAAAAGTTCTCTCAGAATCTTCAAATTCAGAAACGGGAAATAAATCGAAAACTACATCCGAACTGGATAATTCAAAAGAGAGGATTTTAGAGGAAAAAAATCAAATTTCAACGGATGAAAATTCAGAAACGAGATCGGAGAAAATAACGGAGAAGGAAATTGATGATCGACGAGGGAAAATATCATTGTCAATAGAAGAGAGTGATTCGGAGAAAAGGAAAATAAAATCTAAAAAACGTCTAATTGTAGAAGAATCGAATAGCGAGGAGGAATTAATAAATTTACCTATAAAAGATATTTCAATCCCCATCGAACGTTGCGATAGTGTGAATTTTTTTGCACAAGAAACAAATTCGAAACGACGAAAAATCGATGAGACGAATAATAATAATAAAGACGATTGCGACACAACAATGGAAATACAGATAGAAAATAATTCAAGACACAAGGATAATATAAGTGACGATTCGGATATTGAGAAAATAGACAAAATTTTCACCCAAGGAACAATTATCGATTCGGATCATGATTTATTTGGAAATACAACATCTGGCGATGATTCAACAGTTCTTGCCGAACGGGAAATTGTCGATAGTTTCGATAGTTTAGAAGTACAATTATCGTCGACGACAAATAATTTAAAGGAGAGGAATTTAAATAAAAATGACAATTCTGAGGAAAATGAAATTGATTCTCGTGAATTTTTGCAAAATAATTTAAAGGAAAATGAAGTCGATTTACTCGATTCGGACGATCGGGAAGCATTGTTGGATGACGATTCAGAGACTGAATACGAAGATGACGATAATCTAAATTCGTCGATTATCGAAGTGGAAGTTAAAAAGGAACCTGTGAAAATAACTCTTATAACTTTAGACGATGTTCAAAATAATGAGGAAAATTATTCTGACGTTAAGGAGGAAAATGAAGACAGTGATATTGAAATAATCGACGATCAGGAAACACCGGAAATTTGTAAAGTTAGAAATCCAGTTGCGAAAATCGAGAAGGAATCACAGATCAAAATGAATTTGAATGAAGAAAAAAATTCAAGAACATTAGAAAATTCATCTTTGAATCTAAGTGAAAATTTAGATCCAAGTAGAAGTTTAATTATCAAAATTACCAAACATTCGCAACATTTGTCGTCGAATGATGAACAATCGATGATTGTTCAGACTAAGGAGAATTTAATTCAAATCGAAAAGGAATCGCAGCATTATTCTCTCAACGATGAATCAATTGAGCGAGAGGAGAATGAATCGATGGAAAAATCTACGTCCAATTTGGAAAAATCGTCCGAACTTTCAAATTCTGGTCAGCGGGTCAATAATACTGAGGATGACGAGGATGAGTCGACGATCGACAGTCAACGGCAAATTTTCACTCAATTCGATCGTAAAGCGCGGAGAAAAGTTCAGTTTGCAGCCAATCAGCAAATTATTTCGAATGAACAGGAAATTTCATCGAATGAACCGGAAATTGATTCAAATAATTCAGAAAAAATTCAAGAAATTCAACGGGAAATTAAACAAAGTCAGAGTGGTGAAAATAATCTAGAAATTAATTTGCAAATGGACCGAGAGAATCATATGAGTCAGGAAACAAATCAGGAAATGAATCGAGAAGAAAATCCGGAAATGACTCGAGTTTTCGAAACGAATCCGGAAATTCATTCAAATGATCAGGAAAAAATTCATGAAATTAAAAAAAGTCAGAGTGAAAATAATCGAGAAATTAATTTGCAAATGGATCGAGAAATAAATCGGAAAGTGAGTCAAGAAACTTTGGAAATGAATCGAGAAGAAAATCGAGAAACGAATCGAGAATCAAATGAGAAAATGAGCCAGGATTCAAATCGGGAAACAAATCAAGAAATGAGTCAGGAAATAAATCGGAGAATGAGTCAAGAAACAAATCTGGAAATGGAAGAAGAAAATCGGGAAACAAATCGAGAAACAAAGCAAAAAATAAATCAAGATAATCATAAAATAAATGGGACATTTAATGGAAACAAAGAGGAAATTGATGGGAAAATTGATTCACAAAATGATAATAGAAAAATTATTGAGAAAAAAGTCGAAGACGATATTGACAGTGATTGTTCGCGTGAAACAATAATTTACGAATCGATAAATAAAAATGTAATCGAGCAGAAAGAGGAAAAAACTGATGATTGGAGTGAATTTCTAGCAGACGATGAAAATAATTCTCACAATGATAATAAGAATGATGATGATGATGATAATGAAAAGGAGAATTCAATAAAAATAAATTTCAAGACAGAAGAACAGAAATTATTACCAAAAAAAGTATCCTATTGGGAAGATTGGAATAGTTCTGATAGCAGTTAATTTTAGAAATGATTGAAAAAATTATTCTCGCATTAAAAAAAAATAGTCACTGCAAAAAAAAAAATAGTTCTTCCTTTCAAATTACTTCTGGATAAAAATAAATTCCCACTTTACAATTGTCTCTCTTCTTTATGTTTATTTATTTACGTAATTTTTTTTTAAAGGGAAAAATCAGAAGTATTTATTTTTAATGGGAAAAAAGGAATTTATTTTCTATTTTCCAAAAATGTTAAATTTAAAATGTTTTTACTTTCTATTTAAATATTGTCTTTCGTTTTATTTCAATTCCATAAAAAGAGAATAAGTTTAAAAAATTAAAAAAATTAAAAATAATTTTCTAAGTAACAAATGTATGCAAATTTTCCTTTTTCGATATTTAATATACAAGAAAAAGATATAAATAATTGTATTGATTGTGTATAAAATATTGTATTATAATGTAAATAAAATATTTTTGATACTATTTTCTAAATAAGTGTTTTCAATTCATTTTTTTATTGTACTCATTAATTTGTATACTAAAATATAAATAAAATAGAGATATATTTAATAAAAATTTATTAATTTTACAAATATTATGATTATTTATTACTAATAATTAGAAAATTAATTATATTTATATTTTTAATATTTATTATTATTTAATTTACATATTTACTTAGTATTTTAAATATTTATTGATAAATAGTTTGAATTGAAAATAAAATTGAAATTTAGTTTCGAATTCAAAAGTCGCGCCACAAATTTCTGCACGCAAACGGATGTGGCCAACTTCACACTTGTTAAATATACATTTCTCTGTTTTTTTTTATTTCCTGTTGTTTCCCGCCTTCCGCCGGCAAGTTCAGGAAAATGAAAATGTGTGTTGTACAATTTGATTGTTAGTCGTGTTTTTTTTACATTTTTCATCAATTTCATGCATAATAATTGAAATAATTTGTTTATACAAACTTCGGAAAGTGTTTTAATCAATAAAATTAGTAAGTATACAATTTATATCAACTTTTTATCACATTTCGTTTTTTTTGTTTGCATTTCACGGTGTAACATAACCTCACTTTTTATTTATTTTCACTGTTTTTTTTTAAATTTCTATATCAATTTTTTATCGATTAACATTAACGTACAAAAATTTATGTTTGTAACTTTTCACTTTTTTTTAAAATCATTGTCTCGAGATAAATTGCAAAAATATGTTGTAATAGTAAAAAGAGTTTTAAAAAAACTCATTTATTGTTTTGAAACTAGTTTTATTTTGCATTTTGAGTTTTAATTTTAATTTAACAAGAAGAAAAATTAACTGTATTTCTATTTAATTAAGTTAATTATCTTCTTCTTTTTTAATAGATTAAAAATTTATGGAAAATATGAAGATGAGATGAAAATGAAAACAAATATATTTCGATATTGGAATTGGAAATATTTGATAATTGAAAGGATAAAATTAATAGTGAGATAGTGATAAGAATTATATAAAAATCGAAAGAAAATGACATCGACAAGACGTAAATATAAATTTCCAGAAGTACCGACGATAATTGCATTTGGTGATCCAATGCTGGAATCATTAGTGCAAGTCAGAGGAAATTCAATTATGGTGAAACATAATATCAGATTTAATGGAAAATCGGAATTGACAACTGAGGAGACGGAACGACTTTTACGTGATCTACCACCAGAGTTAATATTCAATTCTTCTTTCTGGATAATTCTTGGTATTTGCACCGCTTATTAAAATTTTAATATTTTTCAAACATTTTTTTAATTTACGAAACATTTCTATATTTTATAGATTTATTTATTTTATTGATTTAAATCCAATAATATCAATGATTTATACAGAATTATTATTATTAATAATATTTCTTATAAATTATTTATAATTATTAATAATTAAAATTTAAATTTAATAATTATTTAATAATTTAAATAAATATTTAATTATTATTAATTATATTAATAATAAATTATTTATAATTCTTAATAATTATAAATTAATAGTTAATTAATAATTATTAATAATTATAAATTAATAATTAATTCATAATTATTTATTATTATTTAATCAAAAAATTTGTAGTTAAAATTTGACAGGGATTTTAAGTCAATTATATTATAATTATAATTATAAATACAATTAAAAACCTTTAGGAAAACTAAAAGAAATTCTTTTTCTAAATATCAACAATTACTTTGGAGAAAAGAATCTCATTGTCAGTTTTCTTTTTTTAAAATATTTAAAAGAGAAAAAAGAAAACTTTAGAAATGTTTTTTACAAATTTTTTCTTGTCCGATTGGAATTTTTATGGTAAAATTGATAGAAATAAACATTAAAATCATAAATATTTGTTAAAATATATTTTTATTAAATCATTCGCTTTTATTTTTCTCGCACAATATACTTTTTTACAACTTTCAAAACTTTACAATATAATTTATTAAAATTTAAATGTTGGTATTTTATTTTTAAAATAAATAAAAGATTTTTCATAACGTCAAAATGATTGATAAAAATCCTGTAAACAGAGAGAATTCAATTATTTTCATAAATAATAATATGCTTTGGAAGAATTCCATTATTTTTATTAAAATTTTTTGCAAAAGTTCAATTATTTTCTCAACAAAATTTTAATAAAATTTCACGAAAGAATTTAATTATTTTCTAAAATTCGAATAAATCCTTGGAAACAATTCAATTATTTTTTAGAGTAGTAAAATATTTGCAAAAATTCAATTATTTTTAATAAAATTTCACGAAGGAATTCAATTTTTTTCTTAATTCGTTATAAAATTTTCCATAAGTATTCAATTATTTTCTAAAATTTTAACAAATCCTTTGAAACAACTCAATTATTTTCGTAAATAGTAAAATTTTTTGCGAAAATTCAATTATTTTTAGTACAATTTTAATAAAATTTCATAAAAGAATTCAATTATTTTCAAATATTTTAATAAAACTGTTGGAAAGAAATCAATTATTTTAAATACAATTTCAATTAAATTTCTTTGAAATAATTCAATTATTCTTTTAGATTTTAATAAAATTCTTTCGCAAAAATTCAATTATTTTTATAAACAATAAAATTTTATAGAGGAATTCAATTATTTTCATAATTACCAAACTTCTGTGCAGAATTTTAATTATTTTCAATCAAAAATTTAAATAAAATTTATAAATAAATAAATAAAATTTTTCGCAAAAATTTTATTATTTTCATATAATATATATTAAATTCTATAAAGGAATTCAATTATTTACAAAAATTTTAATAAAATTCTTCGCAGGAATTAAATTATTTTTTTATAAATAACAAAATTGTACGTACGAATAACATTCTAATAACATTCTTTGCAAAAATTCAATTATTTTCATAAAAATATAATTCTATAAAGGAATTCAATTATTTTCAAAAGTTTTAATAAAATTCTTCGCAGAAATTAAATTATTTTTTTTATAAATAATAAAATTCTTCTGAGAAATTAAATTATTTTCTATATTTTAATATTCTTCGAGAGAATTAAATTAGTTTCATAATTATAATAAAATTCCTCGAACGAATTCAATTATTCTTAAATGTTTTGATACAATTCTTTGCAAGAATTCAATGAATTTCAATTGAAAATGTTTAAAAAGAAAAATTATTTAAAAAGTTAAGAAACAAAAAAGCAAACAAACTTTGCTTTAATTTTGCTTCTAAGTTGCTGTCAAATTGTCACAATATTCTTTTAAATATTGTCACTCTTTTGCTAGTGTTTTGCCTTAATTTTGCCATTATTGCCATTATTGCCCCAATTTTGTCACAAAAAAAATTTAAATAAAATTTATAAATAAATAAATAAAATTAAAATTTATTAAATTAAAAAAAAAATTAATTTTTATTTTATTATTTATTAATTTAATTTATTTATTATTTATTTTGCCACTGTTTTAATTATCGAAATTTTACGAGTACGAAATGCCAAAGAACAATAATTAAATATGATTAACTTACGGATTTAGATGTTAAAAGTTACATTTCAGCAATTTTCATTTATTATCAGTAATCATCACTCTTTTGATTATTATTCTTCATTCTATTTAAATTTCTATTTATTATTGGCATTTAGAAATATTAAAGAAGTCAATAAAGTTGATATATATATAATTTTTAGATCCTTAACCAAGATGTACAATTTAACATGAAACATTTCATGATTTTGTTTATTTATAATTTGTTGCTTATAATTCTGATTCCTGTTTTCGCATCAAACAATTATAAATTGAATAAGCCAATCGAAGAATCTAAAATAAATTTTTTATTAATTCCTTGAAAAGTTTTACTTATTTAGATTAAAACGAAATAAAAATGTCAGCAGACAATTTTCGTGTTTAATTTATTTTTAGTGCGTTGAAATTTGAAAAATTATTTTAGAGAAAATTTAATACTAACGGAACTAAAAGTATCTATTGATAGAGAAATGACTGGTCCAGCGGTAAATTTAATTGGATCATTTGATCGTTTTATTATGAAAATCAAACTTTTTCTCGATTTACTCGACATCAAAGTCCAGTCAGTACTGAAGACTGCATATCCAATTTCTTTGCTCTAAAAAAAATGGCATCACTTTAATTTTTTTGTCTACTTCCCCAAAAAGAGAGTTTTTAGCAAAATTAATACCTTTTCCATAACTAAATTCCCATGCCAGCAAAAAACGTACATTTCAGCCATAATAATAATTAACGACAGCATCATTGACCAAAATTTAATCGAAGTTACACTGAATGTTGCCAGCAAATAAGTACCCGAACAAACCTCCAATGTTGTCACAAATAATTGACAAAAGAACACCATTCCAAAAAGATCATTTAATTTATTTCGAAAACTGAAAAATTTTTCGTTCCCCTCTAATTTTTAAATTTTTCAACAAAAAAAATAGATAACTTACTAATAAATAAAATTATGATGCTGTATCCAATGGATAAGAAAGAAATCCTCCTTTTTGTAATAATAATTTACTTCATTCGTTTTGTGAAATTTTTTTGAGTTGTTGATTACTTCCAATTTGTATAATTTAGGAAACATTTTCATTCGATGTATTAGTATTTCAATTTGTGAGCATAATTGCAGTAACATTGTAATTATAAATGAATCAGTGGCTGCTATAACATTAGTGACAATCATTGCACCCATGCTTTGAAATGTAAACGTCAACCAAAATATTGTTCTACTTTCAAGACTGTATGGTATCCATCCACTGTATGGAAGTGTGGTGAAATCGCCTCTTAATAATGGAATCGTTGTTTTTGCTATCACTGTTATCACGACTAGAGCGGCAAAAATAATTGTTCCAGTTCTAAAGAGGAGTAATCTTAAAGTATTAATCAGGGAAAGGACAGGGATTTTTATTAAAAGTACTGGAATTTTATTAAAATCTATTAGAAAATTAAATTATTTTCGTAAATAACAATATTCATCAGAAGAATTCAATTATTTTTAAAAATAATAAAATTCTTCGCAGAAATTCAATTATTTTCAAAAAATCTAAAAAAAAAAATTGTCAATATTTTAATTTTCTTTATAAATAAATAGCAAAATTTTTCGACGAAATTCAATTATTTTCAGGAATTTTAATCAAATTCATTGCAAAATTCAATTATTTTCGTAAATAAAAATGTTCATCGCTAGAATTCAATAATTTTCGTAAATAAAAATATTCATCACTAGGATTCAATTATTTTCAAAATTAATAAAATTCTTCGCATAAATTCAATTATTTTCAAAAAATCTAAAAAAAATTTTAGTCAACATTTCAATTTTCTTTATAAATAAATAGCAAAATTAATCGACGAAATTCAATTATTTTTCAGAAATTTTAATAAAATTCATTGCAAAATTCAATTATTTTCGTAAGTAACAATATTTATTACAAGAATTCAATTATTTTTAAAAATAATATAATTCTTCTCATAAATTCAATTATTTTTAAAAAATCTTAAAAAAATTGTCAACATTTCAATTTTCTTTATAAATAAATAACAGAATTCTTCGCCAAAATTCAATTTTTTCAGGAATTTTAATAAAAATTCATTGCAAAATTCAATTATTTTCGTAAATAACAATATTCATCACAAGAATTCAATTATTTTTAAAATCAATAAAATTATTCCCAAAAATTCAATTATTTTCAAACAATCTAAAAAAATCGTCAAAATTTCAATTTTCTTTATAAATAAATAGCAAAATTTTTCGCCGAAATTCAATTATTTTCAGGAATTTTAATCACATTCATTGCAAAATTCAATTATTTTCGTAAATAACAATATCCATCACAATAATTCAATTATTTTGAAAATTATTAAAATTCTTCGCAGAAATTAAACTATTTTCAAAAAATCTAAAAAAAAAATTTATTCAAAATTTCAATTATTTTTACAAATTAATAACAAAATTCTTCGCCGAAATTCAATTATTTTCAGGAATTTTAATAAAAATTCATTTGCAAAATTCAATTACTTTCGTAAATAAAAATATTCATCACAAGAATTCAATTATTTTTAAAATCAATAAGATTCTTCGCAGAAATTCAATTATTTTCAAAAAATTTAAGAAAAATCGGCAATATTTCAATTATCTTTATAAATAAATAGCAAAAATCCTTCGACAAAATTCAATTATTTTCAGGAATTTTAATAAAGTTCCTTGTAAAATTAAATTATTAACAATATTCATCACAAGAATTCAATTATTTTTAAAAGTATAAGAAAATCCAATTATTTACAAAAATTTTAATAAAATCCATGGTAAAATTTCAATTATTTTCAAAAAAATTTTTTAATATAATAATTTGTATATATCTATTATTTTAAACAAATTTTCCAAAAGAATTCAATTATTTAAAAAAAATTTGATAAAATTCGACACGAAAATTTAATTAAATATTTTCTAAAATAATAAAATTTTACTGGAATAATTCAATTATTTTTATAAATAATAAAACTCATTGCAGAATTTCAATTATTTTTAATACAATTTGAATTAAATTTCTCGAAAAATGCAATTTATTCTTAAAAATTTTATTAAAACTTGTTGAAAGAATTCAATTATTTCAAAATTTGTTGGTAAAATTCTTTACGATTTCTTTATGAATTCTTCTCAGAAATTCAATTATTTTTAGGAATTTTAATTAAATTCTTTGCAAAATTCAATTATTTTCATAAATAACAATATTTATTACAAGAATATTCTACTATTGTCATAAATAATAAAAATTTCACAGTAATTCAATTATTTAAAGAACATTTTGTATAAATTTTTTCGAAGACTATCAATTATTTAAAAATTTTTTATTGAATTCTTCGCAATAATTTATTGAATTCCTGGAAAAATGTAATTATTCTTAAAATTTTTATTAAAATTCGTCGAAAGAATTCAATTTTAAAAAACATTCAATTATTCCATAAATTAAATATTTTTGTATATTTAAATAATTGAATACTCGTAGAATTTTATAATAAAAGTTGATTTATTAATGAATTTCAGTCAAAATTGTAGATAAGAATTGAATATTAAAAGCATTATAGCATGAATTTCTAGAAATAATTGAATTTTAAAAAGATTTCAAATTAAAATCTTTAAAAAATCTGAATTTTTCATACTTTTAATAAAAAATTTTGTAGGACTAACTTTTTTTGAAATAGTTTAATTGAATATTTTAAAAATTTTTTGAAGTTTTTATTTCTAATGTATATTTAATTGAAGAATTTACAAATAATCGAAATTTCACGTAAAATTGAATTGTACAAATGAATTTCAAAATTCTAAAAGAACTTTTTCAAAAATTATTAAAAATAGTTGATTTAGAGAAGAATTTTAGTTAAAAATTCTAGAAAATAATGATTGAATTGAAATGATGAAAATAATTTTGAATTATCCAAAAGGTTTTGAATTTGAAATGTTTTAAAAGTCTTAATTCCTATGGAAAAGTAATAATTATTAAATATTTATTTTAAAATGAAGTTATTAATGTTTTCGAATAAAAATTCCAATTAAAGAAATTCGTGATAAAAGAATTTAATTAAGATAAATTTTCAATACATTACCTTCCGATTGTATCGTATCCATTTTGAATTAATACTTCATCATCATCTCGTGGTACAAACTGTTCATTGAGTAGAATATTCGTAATTTGAATAATTTCATCTCGATTATTAAATGCAATCACCATTTTCAAACAACCGACAAATAATGCCAAAAAGTAAAATAAATTATCATTAAATTCCTCCATGTCCGTATGCTCGATAAAGATATAAAGTAAATTTGATAATGTAAATAGTGTCGTTACTGTGAAGACAAAAATATTAAACACATTCGAAAGTACCACAATCACTTTTGATGATGACTCCATTGGCCAAATTCCTGTGATTTTGTAAATAACGAGAGAAATTTCTGCTCTGTACATTGTGTCAATTGTTCATCATCAATTTTTTTTCTAATTTCTAACAAGTAAACTTTTCTTATAAAAAAAATATCTGTAACTATTCTGATACAGGATAGAATATAGAATGGAAAATAGGTTTGGGTATTTAACAGTGGAATTTGTTTCGCCTTTTTTTCAAGAAAGTCGCATTTTTTTCAACCCCTTTTTTACATGAGAGTGTCGTTTAATAATTCTTCAAGACAATAGAAAACGGTTTCTTAGTTTTTTTTTAATCGATAAGTTAACTGAGGGATGAAATAACGTTTAGACGACTCTAGAGGAATATTTGATGCAAATTGTGAATAATTTCTGAAGGAAAATTGCGTTGATAAGAATTATGGGACAATTTTTATTTCTTTTGCAAAGGAAAGACAATTTTTAGCCACTCCTGTTGTGACAGTGAAAGAATAAAGTTAAGTTGTGCAGAATTTGTGGAGGATTTTTCATGTTTTATTTAGGTTTTAACCCACATGGATCATGATTCATTAGAGGAACGATTGTAGACGAAAATGTTGAGTAATTTTTAACCAATTAGAATACACGATGAATTAATAAAAACCAAAATTACCAAACTGAATTAATAGAGTGAGTAAGAGGACAATGTGTATTAATAATTTGATGTTATCTGTTTCTTTAAAAATTGTTTATTAAATTACAAACTTTCTAGTAATTTACAAATGCTTCAAGTATCCAATTTTTAGGGTCTCTGCTTATTACAATACATCTTGATAATTTTTTGTATTTTTATTTATCGACATTAGGTTTTTAATTATCATTTTATGCTCTACTGGGTTATTTGAATTTGAAAATGCAAAACAAGTTGAAACTGAACATGCAACTTGAACGAAAATTTATTCCTGATGTCTACCACAAGAAAAAGGTAATTCCGACTTGCATGTTTTATTTGAGCCTGTTACTGTATTTCCATATTCAGAAACTTCAAAAATATATTTTCCCTTCCAAAAAAATGAAAACTGTTGCTATACCAGGAGCCAAGCATTAATTCCACAACACATTTCCGAATATAGGGACATTAAAAAATTCTTGTAGTAAAAATATCAGGTTTCTGTTTTTTGTAATTCTGTTTCTTGTTGACGCATCAAATAATTATAGATTGAGTAAGCTAATCGAAGAATCTAAATAGAATAAAAAAATAAAAATAAAATAAAATTTAGAATTTCCACTATATTTAATTCACTAATACTAGAAAACAAAAAATTATTCTCAAAAATTATAATCAAATTCCTTAAAACTAGATATTGAAAATAATTATTATTATTTAATTATATTTTCAAAAAATATTCGAAATTCAATTATATTTTCAATATCTAGTATTTTTATAAAATTTCGCAAAAAAATTCAATTATTCACAAAAAATATTCGAAATTCAATTATTTTCAATATCTAGTATTTTCATAAAATTTCTCAAAAGAATTCAATTATTTGAAAAAAAAAATTGATAAAATTTCTCCAAAATTCAATTATTTTTATAAATAATAAAATTTCCACAGAAATTCAATTAATTTAAAATAGCATTTTAAAAAAAATTTCAAAAAATCAATTATTTAACAAAATTTTTATACAATTCTTCACAATAATTTAATTACTTTCACTAATAATAACATTTTTCATGGAAATTCAATTATTTAAAATAAAATTTTCATAATATTTATTATATTTCAAAAGAATTAATTATTTAAAACAATGTTTATAAAATTGGTATGAAGAATTCAATTATTTTCGAAAATGAAAAATTTTTCACAGAAATTCAATTCTTTTTAAACATTTTAATAACATTTTTCGCAATAATTCAATTATTTTCATAGAAATAATAAAATTCTTCTCAGAAATTCAATTATTTTCAAAAATAATAAAATTCTTCGAAGAAATTCAATTATTTTTAAAAATTTTAACGAATAACTCGTCAAGAATTCAATTATCTCCATAAATAGCAAAATTCTTTGCATATAATACAATTATTTTCAAAAGTTTTTTTGCAATTCTATAATTTTCAATATTTATTATTTTCATAAAATTTATCAGAAAACTTAATTATTGAAAAAAAATTGTTGATGCAATTCTACGAAAACATTCAATTATTTTCATATCAGAATTTTTAATATTTTTAATACAATTTTAATTAAATTCCTCGAAAAATGCAATTATTCTTAAGAATTTTATTAAAACTTGACGAAAGAATTCAATTTTAAGAAACATTCAATTATTTATAAAAAAATTAGGATTTTTTACAAGAATTCAATTATTTTTGAAAGTAATAAATTTCTTCTTGGAAATTCACTTATTTAAAAAAATTCTAATAAAATCGTTTGCAAGAATTCCATTATTTTCATAAATAATAAAACTCATCAAAGAATTTCAATTATTTTTAATTTCAATTCCTTGAAAAAATCAATTATTTAAAAAAATATTTTTTGAAATTCTTTGTAAGAATTCAATTATGTATTTACCAAAATATTAGAATTTTTTCCAGGAATTCAATTATTTTCAAATATTTTAAGAAAATTGTTCGAAAAAAATCAATTATTTTAAATACAATTTTAATTAAATTTTTTTGAAATAATTCAATTATTCTTTTAGATTTTATCAAAATTTTCCCCGAGAATTCAATTATTTACATTAATAATTCTTTGAAAGAATTCAATTATTAAAGATAAATAACAAAATTATAAACAATAAAATTATTCCCGAAAATTTTATTATTTTGAGGCATTTTAATAAAATTCTTTGCAAAATTCAATTATTTTCATAAATAACAATATTCATCACAAGAATTCAATTATTTTTAAAAGAGTAGTAAATTTCTTCTTGGAAATTCAATTAATTTTAGAAAATTCTAATAAAATCGTTCGCAAGAATTTAATTATTTTCATAAATAATAACATGTTTTTTATTAATTCAATTATATTGTCAAAAATTGTAATAGAATTCTTTGTAAAATTTAATTATTTTTAAAAACTTTTCGCAATTCAATGATTTTCAATATCTACTATTTTCATAAAATTTCTAAACAGAATTCAATTATTTAAATTAGAATTTGCATAAAATTAGTCGAAAGAAATCAATTATTTAAAAAATTTTATAAAATTCTTCGCAAGAATTAAATTATTTTTATAAATATTTAAATTCTTTCATGAATAATAAAATTCGTTGAAGGAATTCAATTTATTAGCATCAAAATAAGAAAGAAGTAAATATTTTCGATGAAAATTAGGAAAAAGTCAGCTTTAGTTTGAAAGCTACTTTTTTAAAATTAATTATCGAGTGCGAAGTCTGAGCTACAGAAAAAATAAGAAATTAGTATACAAACCGAGGTAAATGTATCAATCGAAAGCGGAACAATTGGTCCAGCAGTAAATTTAATTGGTACATTGGATCGTTTAATAATGTAGACCAAACTTTTTCTTGATTTACTGGACAGTAAAGTCCAATCAGTACTGAAGACTGCATACCCAATTTCTTTACTCTAAAAAAATGGCATCACTTTAATTTTTTGTCTACTTCCCCAAAAAAAGAGTTTTAGCAAAATTAATACCTTTTCCATAACTAAATTCCCGTGCCAGCAAAAAACATAAATTTCAGTCATTATAAATGACAATGATAGTATCATTGACCAAAATTTAACCGAAGTTACACTGAATGTTGCCAGCAAATAAGTACCCGAACAAACCTCCAATGTTGTCACGAATAATTGACAAAAGAACACAATTCCAAAGAGATCGTTTAATTTATTTCGAAAACTAAAATAAATTAAACAGTAGAAAAATTACCAGTACATAAATAGAAAATATTACCAAACTTTTCGAAAATACAGAATAAAGAAAACACTTACAAATAAAGAGAATTATGATGCTGTATCCAATCGACAAGAAATAAGTGTTGATGTTCGGAATAATCTTTAAATTCCGATTTGTACAATTTAGGAAACATGTTCATTCGATGTATTAGTATTTCAATTTGTGAGCATAATTGCAGAAGCATTGCAACTATAAAGCCATCACTTGCCACTATAACATTACTAACAATCATTGCTCCCAAACTTTGAAAGACAAACGTCAACCAAAATGTTGATCCACTGTCAAGATTGTACGGTATCCATCCACCATACGGAAGTGATTTGAAATCCCCTTTTAATAATGGAATTGTCGTTTTTGCCGTCACTGAAGCCACCACTAAACCAGCAAAAATAATAGTTCCAGTTCTAGATTAAATATGTTTATTAAGAAAATTAAAAAATGATTTTTAAATATTAGTCATATCTTATCAGAATATTAGTCGTATTAAAGATTGTCATAATGATTGTTGTCTACCTTCCAATTGTATCGAATCCATTTTGTATAATAACTTCCTCATTATCACGTGGTACAAATTGTTGATTGAGTAAAATTTCTGTTATTTGTAGAATTTCATTTTGATTTCTAAAGATAACCAACATTTTTAGACAACCGACAAATAATGCCAGAAAGTAAAATAAATTATCTGTGAATTCCTCCATTTCCGTATGCTCGATAAATATGTAGAGTAAATTTGATACTGTAAATAGAATCGTAATGGAAATGACAATAACGCTAAATGCATTGTACACTGTGGTGAAGGTTTTCGTTGTTGCTAACGGTGGCCAAATTCCTGCAATTTTGAAAAGAGCGAGAGAAATTTCTGCTCTGTACATTATGTCCGTTGATTCATATTCTTCTTGTCTCTACATAGAATTAAGAACTTTGGTAACAGGAAAAAATATTAAGACTGTGTATAATGTTACTAAAGAATTTATTCCTTTTTTTGCTCTAAGAAAGTCGCATTTTTTCTTTCCCCCTTTGAACAAGAATGTCGTTAATAATTTCTTAGGAAAAAAAGACGAGTACAGGTATCTTTTACGGTTTTTTTCAATCGATATAGACTAAGTGAGGGATGAAGTTACGAATGAGGCGGAATATTTTATGTAAATTGTCAATAATTTCTAAAAGGCAATTTGCATGATAAGTATTATGGGACAATATTTTTCTTTTATTTCTGAACAGGGACTGTATTCCTGACTTTTTCAGACACAGTTACAGCTAGTGTCGTGAACTCTTCAGAAAACACATAAACACTCAGTATGAGAAGGTATAGTGAAAAGAAAACTTGAATCAGTTATAGCTTTTTCTAAAACAGTTCCCAAATTTCTTCCAAACATTCATTGACTAATGACTACTATTGAATATTCTTATTTCAGAATTTTTACGACGTGTGCAAGAATTAAGAAATAGTTCAGAGTTGCTGAGGCTCCATTTAGCGAAAAAGAAAAAAAAAGCCCTTACTTTATTATATTATTGTTTAATATGCTGATGCGGATTTGGAAGAAAAGGAAGGGTTGGAATTATATTAATAACTGGCAGAATAAACACATTAGCATATAGAGATGATGTGATTTTGATGGCGGAGGATAAAAGTGGATTGAAAATGTTAATGGAGTTTGAGGAATAGGAAAGAAAACAAAATGAATCAATTTTTTATAAAAGGAATTTTATTTCCAGTCATCTAGTTGATCAAGTCTTTCTAAGTCCCCCAACTGGACTCCTTTTACTGTTGGCCAATAAATCCATCTGAAGAATATCGCTAAGTCTATTTCCCACTAATCATCCACTCTTAGGAGTGGACCATCATTTTCGAAAATCCTATTTTTGATGGAACCGCAGCTAATGGCGTTTTGATAAACAATTGTAAATTGAGTAGCCCAATCGCAGAATCTGAAAAATTATTTTGTTACGAAGTATGAAAGTAGTTAAATATTTAAGCAATAGTATTAATAATTTTGGGGATAATACAAACTGTAGTGAAGGTGTATAACGATAGCGGAACTGTTGATCCAGCATTAAATATCATTGGAGAATTGGAGCGGGTAATTATCTGAATGAAACTTGATTTTGTCCGTTTTGTTAATGACAACCAGTCGATACTGAATACTGCAAAGCCAATTTCTCTGCTCTGTAAAAGAATTTAAACACGAAACGTTTGAATGTAATGATAAGTAATGCAAGGAAGTAACTAAGTTTAAGTTGCGCAACAGACATTAAGGGGTTACATCCACTTAGGATTTTAAAGCAGTTCCTTTTTTCAAAAAAAAAAATCATTGAGATGCGTGAAGTGACAGGTACGTTTCATACCTGGAATAGACCTGGAATAGACGATTCAATGTAAGTTGAAACAAAAATTTTTTACTATGATTAAAGTGGTTTGTAAACCTCAAACTTTTCTCAAAAACTATGTTTCTTTACTCAGTTAGCAAGATTTGATGCAAATGATTCTATCGATTTGGATCATCAAAAATCTCTACGTCACAAGCGACATACCGTGTGAACTGCTTTAGGACTAGGGAGCAAGTTATTGGGCCTGAATCTTCAATTGGTGTTTCTGATAAATCCTTGTTAGTAGTGTTCGAATAGTTGGGCAACAGAACACTACAAACAATGTAGTTGGTTGTGCCCAGAAATTCTTAATTATCGACCCAATTACAGATATTCAAACATACCTTCTCGATTACCAGACTTCCAGTTATACAGAACATGCAAATTTGCATTAGAGTACAGCACAGTGCCAAAATTGCAATTAAGAATTTCGTTGATGCAATATTGTAGGTCGTCAATTGAAATGTCAGCAAACAAACGCCAAATGTTGTGAATGTAAATTGAACGGCAAATACCAAATCAAAAATTTTGTTCAATTCATTTTTGAATCTAGAATAAAAGTAGTTGGTTTAGTTCTGAATTATTAGATTACATAAGGAGGGGAACTGCTGAAATATTAATTAACATAATCAGCCTCTTAGGGCTAATTCCACCAACCTCAATTAAAAGTTAATCAATGATTAAAGCCAGTTTAGCGGCTCCTGATTGGTTAATTGAGGATTTAATCATTGATTAACTTTTATAATCGGTATTCGTGAAACTGGCCCTTAATGTGGTTTCCCCTTTTAAAAGAGCAGTAAAAATTAAGTTACTGTTTCCCATCTAAAATAATAGATTTAAAGTTACAATCATTAATTAATTATTATCATAGTTACAAATGCAGAGAATTGTGATGTTTGATCCAATTATTAAGAATCACTTGTTCCATTTGCGGATTATTTGGAAATTGTTCTTCACATATTTTAGGTAACATTTGTATTCTGTGTATGAGTATTTCCATTTGTGAACAAATATGCAACATTGCAACCATGATAAATGAATCCGCTGACGCTGTACCTTGACCACATAGAGGAATTGCTAAATTTATATAAGCAAATGTAATCCAAAATATAATTTTATTGTCGGTATTGAATGGAACCCATGGATTGAAAAATGTTGATGTCATCAAACGTTTTATTATTAAAAATATCGTTTTAAACACATTCGCCATAAGTAAAATACTTATAAATACTATTGTTCCAAATCTTATAACAAAATACTGATTATTAGAATTTAAAATTTAAGTCTAGAAATGTTTGTAATCATTTAAAAACTCTGCTTGTACAATAATTTAAGAAAGTAAAAACCTTCCAATTTTGTCGTATCTATCTTGAATACGAGACTCCTCTAAATCACGTGGTTCGAAATTTTTACTTTGTAAATATTTCCATAGAGCATGAATTTTTTCACGCTTCCAATAAACGGCTAACATTTTAATTAATGCTGTCATAGCGGCAAAGATATAAAATAGATTTTCCGTAAATTCATCGTCATCGGAATTTTCGGTTAGAACATAAAATATGTTTGTCGTTGTGAATGCGATAATAATTAATGCTATTAAAATAGTATAGAGATTGTAGATTGCCATCAAGCCTTTTGAATTCATCGATGGCCATAGTCCTAAAATTTTGAAAAGACCCAAAGAAATTTCACCCGTATACATTTTTTTGTACTATTTTTCACTGATGATAGATGTACAATTCCATGATAGATTTTATAATTGAAATTTTTTCAATTGAAACAAGTTTTCTAGTTAGAATAGTTAACTACCTAAATGTTGATGGATCAATGGCAGAAGAAATATTGTTTGCGTGAAAAATAGACCTGTAATTTTTGCAAAAGGCATCTTTTTCCCTTTGTGATAGAAATCCCTTCAATAATTCCGTAAGAAGACAACTCTAATAGTTTTTTAATCGATACGTGACAAAGAAATTGTTGATGATAAAAAGGGTAATAGAGGTTTTAAATTATTGCTTACGTTAAAAAGGGGAAAAGAGTGGTTCGCCTGTTATAAATTTTTTATTTAACGAGAAACATTGTTAGAGGGTGGAGATAGACAGTATTGATGCAAACGCAGAGCTGATAGCATTGATGAAAACTAAGTATGAAAGTCATAAAAAGTTCAATAAAATCAAAAAGTTAATTCTCAAATCCACTTTGGACAACATCCTTTTATATTTATTAAACTACACAAATAGCGTAAATAACAGACTTTAAAAACTTTAACTCTTCCATAGTTCTTCTATTCACACATTAGTAAGTCATCATTTTTAAGTTCGTTAAGGAGTTATGTCGGTAGCAGATTCATTAGATATTAAACCTAGAACGGAAAACTTGGGGTAAGGTCTTAGATTCAACTCATAATTCATTTTATCTGACAATTGATTCCGGTCCTTGTGCACGGCTAGTACTACTTCAAACCCACCTATACCCACCATTAGCAACCACATTTTCTACCGTTTCGAAAGACAATTGTAAATTGAGTACGCCAATCGCAGAATCTGAAATAAATATTAATCCTGTATTTATAATTAACAGTAACAAAAATAATCTAAATCATTCAATAATACAAACAGAGCCAAAGGTATCTATCGATATAGGAACTAATGATCCAGCGGTAAATTTAATTGGAGTGATTGATCGATGAATTATTTGTACAAGACTCGATTTTGTCTGCTTCGTTAGACAAATCCAGTCGGATGTAAAAATTGCCATACCAATAGATCTGCTCTGGAAAATTATTTTAAATTCAATGAATTTTGAATTAGAATTTGATCAATTTTATTATTCTTTTTTGTTACCTTCTCTGTAACCAGTTCACCACTCCAACATAATATGCTAATTTGTAATACAATACAGATTAAACTCACTATTGTTTGCCAAAATATCGCAGATAAAACATTCACTGTTGTTAATTCAAATGTTAGCATACATACTGATAGTGTTGACAACATGAATTGGGAAAAAAATATGTAATTATAAATATCGTTCAAGTCATCCTTTAATCTGAAAATTATTTTTTTCAAGAAGTTAATTAACATAGTACTCAAATTAACTACTACTCAAATCTCAAGTAGATTCGTAACATAAAAAAGCTTTTTAAAGTAACAATAAAATTTTCTTTTCTTCTGGATGTTGTTCAGCAACATCCTAACAACAATCTAGATTGTTAACAGTTTATAAAAAATAATAGAATTAAAAAGAATTTAATTTGAACACCTTTTTACGACAATTTTAATCTTCTGCTAGTGTCCGACTGTGGTTACGAATATTTAAAAGCATTTAAAAGTTTTATTAATATTTTTTATCCTTCAGGGTATTGTTCAGCCACATCCCAGCTACAATCTAGATTGTTTACAGTCTATAAAAAATAAAATTGAAAGAATTTAATTTAAACTTCTTTTTATGACAATTTTAATCTTCTTCTTCTTTTTTTTCTTCTTCTTCTGTGGCTACTACAACTTAAAAGCGCTTAAGAGTTACAATAAAATTCTCTATTATTTAGGATGTTGTTTAGCAACATCCCAACAACAATGTAGGTTATTAGCAGTCCATAAAAAATAATAAAATTGAAAAGAATTTAATTTAAACGTTTTTTTTGACAATTATAATCTTCTGCTGTCGTTCGGCTGTGGCTGCTAGTTATTAAAAATTACAATAACTTTTTTATCATTCAGGATACAAGTAGCATCCCTAATCGTCACTTAGAGAATGCTGGTTGTCAGTTAGGGATCGCATGCAGTCTATAGTCGCGTCTTTAGCAGAATAGTTGTCTGACGATCAAGTGAATAGTCCCTTTAAAACAATTATAGGTACCTGTAGAGAAAGTCATGATGCTTCACCCACTCTTTAAGAAATATTTGTTCCATTTCCTTCTTTTCGGCAAATTTTGTTACAGAAATTTCGGGAAACATTTGCATTCTATAAATTAGAATTTCTACTTGTGCACATATTTGCAACATCATTGTCACAATATAAGTATCACCCGATGTTGTTCCTTGTCCGCATATAAAACCTCCCATTGTTTGATATGTAAATGTTAGCCAAAATAAAATTTTATTCTCAAAAGTATGTGGAATCCAAGGATTGTATAAAGTTGTGCCAATTATTCCAATTACTAATGGTTTTATCATTTTTGCGATAGTACTTATGACAATAATACATGCATAGAATATGGTTCCATATCTTTGGCGAGAAAATTTGATTATTCAACATTTTTCAATTTTAGTTTATTTTATTGAGGAATGAAAAATACTTAATAATTTCTAATGAAAAATTTTCTACTCACAAAAAAGGGATTGCGCCAATGATAAACTTTAATTAATTACTTTGGTTAGAAAGAAAAAATGTTTTGTTTACAATTAATTAATATCGAGTGATACGCGAAAAAACACTGTAAAGTATATTGTAAAATAAAAACCTTCCAATTTTGTCGAATTTACTTTGAATACTAAACTCCACTGAATCACGTGGTTCGAATTGTTTGCCCTGTAGACACTTCCATATTTCACGAATTTTTCTTCGTTTTCGATAGACGGATATCATTTTAACAGTTGAGAGAATAACTGCAAAATTGTAAAACAAGTTGTCTAAAAATTCATCATGCTCAAAGTTTTCCGTTAAAATGTAAAAAATGTTTGTTGTCGTGAATGCAACAATAATTAATCCTACAAATGCAGTATAAAGATTGTAAATTGTGAAAAATCCTTTCGAATTTTCCGAAGGAAATACACCTATAATTTTAAAAGTTCTTATTGAAATATCTGCAGCATACATAGTTTTGCTTCTCTTAAATCATTCTTATTGTTTAGCATCAGATTATAGATTAAATTCACTTAAAAATATGTGTTGTTTTCTATTTTAATATTCAGGGATCAATAGACACAAAAAAATGTTGCGTGCAATACATAATACGCTAGTTTTAGCAAAGGTATTTCTCTCCTTTATGGAAAAAAAAATTCCTTCAATAATTCCATAAGAAGAGTTTTTTTTTTAATCGATACGTGAAAAAAGGGATGAGAAAAATGAGTTTCGAATTATTCCTTACGGTGAATTGCATTGCAAAGGGGGAAAAAAAGTGGTTTGTCTTATAAATTTTTAATGTAATGCGAAACAGTGTTCGAAGGTAAAGATGGTCAGTCTTTGTGATAATACAGAGTTGGTAACATCTTATCGTTTATTTTTCTGTACTTCTGACAAATTTAATTAGTGCAGTACAACAGAACCCACAGAAAAATCAGTTACAGATTTTTAAAGTACATATATTTTGACATTTGTGCAGTTTTAACATTCTGAAATGTGTCCCCATTTTTCTGGAAGACTTAATTAGGTTTGATTCCCTATTGGTAACAGACAACAATCAGTGATGAGACACAAATTTATTTTCTAATGTTTCGAAAGAAAATTATAAATTGAATATGCGAGTCGCAGAATCTGAAATGAATTAATTAATTAATGAATAATGCAATAAGAATAATTATAATTAAAATCTAAAATCATTGAAAAATACAAACAGAACCAAAGGTATCTATCGATAAGGGAACTAATGATCCAGCTGTGAATTTAATTGGAATGCTTGATCGTTGTATTATTTGAACAAGACTCGATTTGGTTCGTTTTGTTAGGGAAATCCAGTCTGTTATAAAAATTGCCGAACCAAGTGATCTGCTCTGGAAAATCATTTTTATTAATATTTTAAAATAGAGATGTGTTTGAAGGACATAATCTTCATCTGAATCTTAAATTAGATTTTATTATTTTTTTTTGTTACCTTTTCTATTACCAGATCACCACTCCAACATAGTATGCAAATTTGCATTATGATGCAAAATAGAATCATTATTGTTTGCCAAAATGTTGTAGATAGTATACTGACAGTCGTCAATTCAATTGTAAGCATACACACTGATAGGGTTGTCAATATAAATTGAATGAAAAATATGTAATTGTAAACATCATTCAATTCATCCTTCAATCTGAAAAATTCAAATTTTTTAAAATTCTGACGTGAATTATTTTTGTTTTTTTATTTTGAAAAAGCTTATGAAATCATTTTAGGTACAGAAATAATTAAATAAATAATTATGTATATTAATAATAGTTGTAATCCGGTAATCTGTTAGCAGTTCGAAATTAGTTGCAGTTTGCTTTTTTGTTTCCTAAATACTGTAATAATTTTTCTTTTTAAATATTAAAAAATTTTTAATTAATGTAGGTACTGATAATCAGTGAGTTCTTAAAAAATATTTATCAAAAAATTTGAAAATAATTGAATTCAATTATTTTCAATAATTGAACTAATTCAATTATTTTCAAAAATTGTAATAAAAATCTTCAGTCAATTTATAAATAAAAATCTTTGTAAAAAATTCAATTATTTTGATATAAATAATCAAATTCTTCTCAGGATTTCACTTATTTTTAATACAATTTTAATTAATTTCTTCGAAAATTTCAATTATTTTTAAAAATCTTGTAAAAATTCTTCGAGAAAATTCAATTATTTTCAAAAATAATTGAATTTTTCACTGTTCAATTATTTAAAAAAAATTTAATAAAATCCAATTCAAGAATTCAATTATTTTTAGAAATTAATGAAATTTTCGCTGAAATTCAATTATTTTGAAGACAATTTTAATTGAATTCTAGGGAAAGTTTTAATTATTATTAAACATTTTTTTAAAATTCTTATCGGAATAATTCAATAATATCAATAAATAGTCCACTTTTCACAGAAATTCACTTATTTTCAATATACGATTTTAATTAATTTCTTAGAAAATTTCAATTATTTTTAAAAATCTTGTAAAAAAATCTCCGTGAAAATTAAATTATTTTTAAAAATATATCAATTATTTTGAAGACAATTTTAATTGAATTCTAGGAAAGATTTTAGTTATTTAAAAAAATTTTTTTTTAAATTCTTTGAAAGAATTCAATAATATGAATAAATAGAATTTTATCAACATTTTTTCAAATTCTAACAACAATTCAAAAAAACAAAATTCTCTTGAATATAATTGAATTTTTTTCCAGAAATTCACAGCAATTCTATTATTTAAATTTTTTTTTTATAAATTTCTTCCCAATAAATCAATTATTTTCACAAATAATAAAATTTTTACAAGGATTTAAATTATTTTCATGAATAATAAAATTCGTTATAGGTATTCAATAATTTTCAAAAATAAATAAAACTCTACGCCGAATTTCAATTATTTTTAATATACCTACAATAAAATTTTAATGGAATTTCTTGAAAAATGTAATTATTATTCTTAATAATTTTATTAAAATTCATCAAAGAAATTCAAATATTTTTAAAAAGCCTTTCTATAATTTATTTTATTAGAATTTAAGTATTATTGCCAATTCATTTTTAATTTAATTTTTTAAAAGAATTCAATTATTTTCAAAAGTAATAAAAATTCGATTATGGTCAAAAGTTTAAAAAAATTCTCGTCAACATTTCAATTATCTTTATAAATAATGAAATTCTTCTTTAAAATTCAATTATTTTTAAAAATTTTAATAAAATTCTTGACAAAATTTTAATTATTTTCAAAAACTTTTCTCAATTCAATCAAGTTTTTTTTTAGAGATTCAATTATTTTTAATACAATTTTAATAAAATTTTTCGTAATAATTCAATTATTTTCAAAAGTAATAATATTCTTTGCAGAAATTCAATTATGGTCAAAAGTTTAAAAAAAATTCTCGTCAACATTTAAATTATCTTTATAAATAATGAAATTCTTCTTTAAAATTCAAATTATTTTCAAAAATTTTAATAAAATCCTTGACAAAATTTCAATTATTTTCGAAAACTTTTCTCAATTCAATCAAATTTTTTACAGAGATTCAATTATTTTTAATACAATTTCCATCTAATTTCTCGAAAAATGAAATTATTCTTAAAAATTTTATTAAAACTCGAATTTTAATTATTTAAAAATTTGTTGATAAAATTCTTTATGGGAGGTCAATTTTAAGAAACATTCAATTATTCAATTAATTATTTATTTTTGTATTTAAATAATTGAATTCTCGTAGAATTTTCTAATAAAAAAATTGATTTAAATACGAATTTCAGTTAAAATTTTAGATAATAATTGAATATTAAACTCTCTAAATTTGAATTAGTAAAAATGGTTTCTAATTTGAATTAAGAGAAAAAGTATTATGGCTTGAATTTTTAGAAATAATTGAATTTTGAAAAGGTTTCAAATTATAATCTTTGAAAGTTTCAATTTTTCAAACTATTAACTGAAAATTGTGTAGATTTTTTTTTTTTAAAAAGTTTAATGGAACTTTTTTGAAATTATTTGAAGTTTTTATTTTCTAAAATATATTTAATTGAAGAATTTCCGAATAATCGATAAAATTTCGTAAAATTGAATTTTAGACAAAAAAATTTGAAAATTTTCAAAGAAATTTTTCAAAAATTATTAAAAATGAATGAATAATTAATTTAAAGAAGAATTTTAGTTAAAAATTTTTAGAAAATAATTGAATTGAAATGATAAAAATAATTTTTTTCATTAAGTTACAGTAACAATATTCTTATAGTATAAAATAATTATTTTATCAGTCGGTCATCTTTAATAATTAATTAATTATTATAATACGTTTTATAACAATTTTTTTTTAAATTGTTTAATTTCAAAAAGGTTTGAATTTGAATATTTTGAAAATCTTAATTCTTATTGGAAAAATAATAATGAAATATTTATTTAAAAAACAAGTAATAGAATATTTTTCTGAGTAATAATTTTTAAACTCGATGTAACCCTGTAAATAGAAATTTTTTGTGATCACCTATATAAAGAATTGTGATGTTGCACCCATTCGTTAAGAAATATTTGCTGCATTTCAGGATTTCTTGGACATTTCCTTTCACATAGTTGAGGAAATATTTGCATTCTGTGAGTGAGAATTTCCAATTGTGCTGAAATTTGCAACATCATTGCCACAATAAATGTATCTCCAGATGCAGACGCCTGTCCAGTTACGATACCACCCAAACTTTGATATGTTATCGTCAGCCAAAATAAAATTCTACTCTCGAACTTGTGAGGAATCCAGGGATTATAATAACTCGCTCCTGTCAATCCCATTATTAATGGCATTATCGTTTTTGCAATTGTTGTCAAAAGTATCGTGCTTGCATAGAATATTGTTCCATATCTTTGATTAGAAAATTATTTTAAAACTATCAGGGATTATTGAAATTTAAGGAAAGTTTTCAAATACAATTGCAATTCGCTAATTATAGTGATTTTCGCGGTTTGCTAAACATTATTGATAAATAGAAAATAGTAAAAACCTTCCAATTTTGTCGAATTTGGTTTGAATAGCAAACTCCACTGAATCACGAGGTTCGAATTGTTTATCCTTCAAATATTTCCAGATCTCACGAATTTTTCCACGCTTCAAATAGATGGAGATCATTTTCACCGATGATGTTATAACAGCAAAGATGTAGAACAGGTTTTCCAAAAATTCATCATGTTCGAAATTCTCAGTTAAAACATAAAATATATTTGTTGCAGTGAATGCGAGAATTAATATTCCTACAAAAATGGAATAAAGATTGTAGATTGTTATAAATCCTTTAGAATTCACCGAAGGCCATACGCCTAATGTTTTAAAAATAATTAATGAAATTTCTCCCGTATACATTTCTTGCTTCTTTTTAATCACTTCAGGAGAATTATTTCCTGACTGCGGTTTATCATTCTGTTCCGAGTGAATATAACAATCAATAAAAAAAAAAAGAGAAATGTAATAGACAATTTTTTTTTTACAAATGACATTCATCCCCTTTAGAGGAAAATTTGTTTAATAATTCCTAAAGATTGAGGAGTTTCTTTTTCAATCGATATTATGACAAAAGGGTTAGAAGGAATTGTTGAAGAAAAAAAGGTAGAAGGGAATTTAGACGATTGTGAATAATTTCTTTAGGTTTGAGTGGCATACCAAAGGGGATAAAAAGAAACATTCTGTTATGAATTTTTTATTAAAGGATTAACACCAGATGGTGAATATAGACAGTCTTCATGTAGACGTTCAGCTAAAAGCATTTCTCAGCTAAAAGCTATAATTATTTTCCACGAAAACCATTTTTTCGCTAAAAAAAAAAATCTAAGGGATTAAAGAAAATTTTTTACAATTGTTCCATATTTTAATTGAGGAATTCAAGAATAAATTTTATTTGTAGTTCTAATGTTGTACAACAGACTATATAATTATGCAGAAGACATAACGTTTAGTGCCTTGATAAACAATTGTAAATTGAATATGCCAGTCGCAGTATCTGAAAGAAAATTATTCTTTATGAATAAATATTTGTTTCCCATAAATTTAATACAAATATTTAGCATTGGATTTTGATATACAGAAAAATGTTCATTTCTAAGAAATCGGTTCCTGACAGTTCGGAATTGGTACAAAAAAATAAATACAGGCATCACAGTACTTTTTTAAAAAAATTTTAAAAAAAATATTTAATCATTATTATTAATTATTAATAATAATAAATTATAAATTCAACAATTTGTAATAATTAAAGATGACTATTATCATTATTTTGTACTATAAAAAATATTTTTACTCTAACTTTCTCAAAATTATTTTCATCATTTCAATTCAATTATTATTTTCGAGAATTTTTTAACTATATTCTTCTTTAAATAAATTATTTATAATAATTTTTAAACAAATTCTGAAAAATTTCAAAAATGTATTTGTTTACAATTTAATTTAAAATTTATTTTTTAATTTTTTTTTTAACTTCCACTATTCGAAAATTCTTCAATTAAATATATATTAAATATAAATAATAATATAATATAGGTACATAATATAATAAATAAAAACTTCGAATAATTTTAATTAAACTTTTTGAAAAAAAATTAATTCTACAGAATTGTTAGTTAAAACTTAAAAATATGAAAAATTCAGATTTTCAAAGATTTCAATCTAAAACTTTTTGAAAATTCAATTATTTCTCAAAATTCACGCTATAATGCTTTTAATATTCAATTATTATTTAAAATTATAACTGAAATTCACTTTTAGATCTATTTCTAATAGAAAATTTTACGAGAATTAAATTATTTTTAAATACAAAAAAATGAATATTTCTTAAAAATTGAATTTTTATGAAGAATTTAAACAAAATTTTAAAAAATTTATGAATATTATTGAATTTTTGAAACGAATTTTAGTAAAATTTTTTTAAATAATTACATTTTTCGAGATATTTGATTAAAAAGTAAAAATAATTGAAATTCTGCGATAGGTTTTTTTATTTATGAAAATAATTAATTTATTGCCAGGAAATTTATAAAAAAAATTGTAAATAATTGAATTCCTGTGAAATTATTTTATTATTTATAAAAAATAATAAAACGTTTGCGTAGAATTTTAATAAAAAATTTTTTAAAATAATTGAATTCTTTTGGAAAATGTTATTAAAATAGTAGATATTCAGAATCATTGAATTTAGAAAAATTTTTGTAATTAATTGAAATTTTGCCAAGAATTTTATTAAAATTTTTGAAAATAATTGAATTTTGAAGGAGAATTTTATTATTTATAAAGAGAATTGAAATTTTGACGAGAATTTTGTTAAATTTTTTAATATAATTAAATTTCTGCGAAGAATTTTATTAAAATTTTTGGAAATAATTGAATTTTGAAGGAGAATTTTATTATTTATAAAGAGAATTGAAATTTTGACGAGAATTTTGTTAAATTTTTTAATATAATTGAATTTCTGCGAAGAATTTTATTAAAATTTTTGAAAATAATTGAATTTCATCATTTTTAAAGCGAATTGAAATTTTGACGAGAATTTTGTTAAATTTTTTAATATAATTGAATTTCTTCTAAGAATTTAATTGTTTCTAAAGATAATTGAAAATTTGACGTTAATTTTATTAAAATTTTTGAAAATAATTGAATTTGGAAGAATTTTATTATTTATAAAGAAAAATGAAATTTTGAAGAAAATTTTTTTAAATTTTGTAATATAATTGAATTTTTGCGAAGAATTTTTTATTTATTATAAAATAATAAATTTTTTGTTCAATTATTTTGAAAATAATTGAATAATCTTGAAATAATTGAATAATCTTGAAATAATTAATAATAAATAATAAATAATATAAATAAATAATAATAAAAATAAATAATAATAATTTTGACGAATAATTTTTATTATTTATAAAGAAAATTGAAATTTTGACGAGAATTTTGTTAATTTTTTTAATATAATTGAATTTCTGCGAAGAATTTTATTAATATTTTTGAAAATAATTGAATTTCTGCGAAGAATTTTATTAATATTTTTGAAAATAATTGAATTTTGAAGAGGAATTTTATTATTTATAAAGAGAATTGAAATTTTGACGAGAATTTTGTTAAATATTTTGAAAATAATTGAATTTCTGCGAAGTAGTTTATTACTTGTGAAAATAATTAAATTTTTGCAATTATTTGAAAATTCTCCAAAATTCAAATTTTTTTTAGTGTTTTTAACTAAAATTCCACGATAAATTCATTATTTTTAATAATTAATTAAATATGTATATGAAAAAATTTAAATATTTTCATAATAATTGAAATTTTGAAAACTTTGTGTAAAAATTTAAGTTCTTTAGAATTGCTAATAAAATTCTCATTCAAAATTGAAATTTTATAAAATTTGAAATTAAAATCTTTTGAACGTCATCTTTTTATGATAATTGTAAACGCAACTCTTTTAAAATTCAATTATTTTGGAAATATTTAAGTAAAATTATTCATTAAATAATTTCTAAGTAATAATTTTACATTATTTTACATTCTTCAAGAATTAAGTTATTTAAAAAGAAATTATTGTCAGAAGTAGAAAAATTTGAAACTTTTTTATTAAAAATTTTGTTTTTCTAGAAAAAACTATTAATAATAATATTTTAATTATTTAAACGTTAATTAATTATTTTTCTAGAGGTCTGCATTTTGTTGAATAAACCATTAAATTTTATGATTACACTTTGAAAGAGATTTCAAAAAAAGAAAAACTTTTTTATTTCGTGAAAAATTCTGGGAAAATTCAAATGATTTTTTTATTTTTGAATTAGAAAAAGGTGAAAAAGGGAAGAAATCAGAAAATCAAAAAGAGGACCAACTGTGATGCCTGTGAATACGTAAATTTTACTTAAGAATTTAGAAACTTCGTTCTTTGCTTTTCTGTTTGTAACTAATTTCGTGATTGATTTTGAGTGAAATTGTCTCTGGACTAGAAATAAGAATAATTGTTTTATAATTATACAAACGGAACTCAATGTATCAATTGATAGCGGAACTATCCTTCCAGCTGTAAATTCGATTGGTTTATTAGTTCGTAGAATTATTTGTACTAGACTCAGTTTAGTACTTCTGGTTAGTGAAATCCAATCAATTTTAAAAATTGCAGTGCTAATATTTCGACTCTAAAAAAAGAAACTTTGGTAGTAGTGAATCATTAATCATTAATTTCACTACTAATTTTGGAATTATGATACCTTTTCTATTGCCAAATCTCCACTGACACACATTATAGAAATTTGAATTAAAATAGCGGATAAAATCATTACCGCAGACCAAAATTTCATCGTTATTATTTTTACCGTCGTTAGCTGAACTGTCATAACACAACTGACAAGAGTTGTGAAAATTATTTGAAGGGAAAATACGAAATTATAAATATTGTTCAAATCATCTTTTATTCTGAAAGAGGAACATTGGCAATTAAATTAGAGTTTCTTTTAATAATTGTTGACATAATAATTAACAATAATTATTGGTTAACATACTGTATTGGTTAACTCTACCTGTATAGAGACTCATGATGCTGGATCCATTCATTGAGAACTATTTTTTCTGTTTTCGAATAATTAATAAATGATTTTTTACACATTTCTGGAAATATTTCCATTCTGTATACTAGAACGTCAATTTCGGCACATATTCTCAAAATCAATGCTAGAATAAAAGTATCGCACGCAACTGTTGCTTGTCCACATATAAGCAATCCAAAATTTTGTATTACAAATGTTAGCCAAAAGAAAAATCTATTTTCAAGATCATAAGGAACCCAGGCTTGAAAAAATGACGATGGTTTCAATCCCTTTACAAATGGAAATATTGCTTTTGATACACATGTTGCAATTATAGTAAATGACAATATTATTGTTGATGACCTAGGAAAAGTAAAATTGATTATTAATCAAAAAATTTTCAAATAAAAAGGAGCTAATTTGATTGAGACGGTAAATTATATTATCATTACCAAAAATTATAAACTAAAAGATTTACAGACTTTGCAGTCGATAATTAAATATAAAAAAGTAGTTTTCAAATTAAAAAAAAACTGCTATCGAAAAATTTTTGAAATAAAAATTATTTTCATCAAAAATATTTACTTCTTTCTTATCCTGCTAATAAATTGAATTCTTGCAATGAATTTAATAATTCATGAAAGAATTTAAATATTTATAAAAATAATTTTATAATATTTTTAAAAATAATTAAATTTTACAAAGAATTCTATTAAAAATTTTGACAAAAATTGAATGTCTTTGTGATATTTTATTAAAAAATTTTTTTTTTGAAAATAATTGAATTCCTAAAAAGCATTTTATTATTTATGAAAATAATTGAATTCTCGCTAACGATTTTATTAGAATTTGTTAAAAAATTAATTGAATTTCCAAGAAAAAATTTATTACTTTTAAAAATAATTGAATTCTTACGAAGATTTTTACAAAAATTTTTGTTAAATAATTGAATTCTGTTTAGAAATTTAATGAAAATAGTAGACTATTGAAAATCATTGAATTGCGAAATAATTTTTAAAAATAATTAAATTTTACAAAGAATTCTATTAAAATTTTTGACAAAAATTGAATGTCTTTATGGTATTTTATTAAAAATTTTTTTTTTTTTTTGAAAATAATTAAATTCCTAAAAAGCATTTTATTATTTATGAAAATAATTGAATTCTTGCTAACGATTTTATTCAAATTTTTCAAAATAATTGAATTTCCAAGAAAAAATTTATTACTTTCAAAAAATAAAAATAATTGAATTCTTGTAATGAATATTGTTATTTATGAAAATAAATTGAATTTTGCAAAGAATTTTATTAAAATGCCTCAAAATAATTGAATTTCGGGATAATTTCAATTATCGACATAATTGAATTCTTTGAAAGAATTATTTATGTAAATAATTAAATTCTTAGGAAGAATTTTATTAAAATCTAAAAGAATAATTGAATTATTTCAAAAAAAATTGTATTTAAAATAATTGATTTCTTTCGAACAATATTTTATTAACATATTTAAAAATACATAATTGAATTCTTGTGAAAAATTCTAATATTTTTGTAAATAATTGAATTTCCAAAAAGAAATATACTGCTTTTAAAAATAATTGAATTCTTGTGATGAATATTGTTATTTATGAAAATAATTGAATTTTACAAAGAATTTTCTTAAAATGCCTCAAAATAATTGAATTTTTGGGAATAATTTTGTTATTTATCTTTAATAATTGAATTATTTCGAAGAATTATTTATATAAATAATTGAATTCTTGGGAAGAAGTTTCTTAAAATCTAAAAAAATAATTGAATTATTATAAAAAAATTCAATTAAAATTGTAGGTATTTAAAATAATTAATTTCTTTCGAACAATTTTATTAAAATATTTGAAAATAATTGAATTTCTTTGAAAAATTTTAATATTTTTGTAACTAATTGAATTCGTCCAAAGAATTTAAAAAAAATATTTTTTTAAATAATTGATTTTTTCGAGAAAATGAAAATAAATTTTTAAGAATAATTACATTTTTCGAGCGATTTCTGTAAAATTGTATTTAAAAATATTTGAAATCCTGCGATGAATTTTATTATCTATAAAAAGTTAAAAAAATAATTAAATAGTTGCTAAGAATTTTATTATAATTTTCAAAAATAATTGAATTTTCAAAGAATTTTATTATTTATGAAAATAATTGAAGAATTATTGTAAAAAATGTTATTAAAATGGTTAAAAAGAATTGAATTTCTGTGAAAAATTCTAATATTTTTGTAAATAATTGAATTCTTCCAAAGAATTAAAAAAAAACGTTTCTTTAATAAATAATTGATTTTTTCAAGGAATTGAAATTAAATTTTTAAGAATAATTACATTTTTCGAGCAATTTCTGTAAAATTGTATTAAAAATATTTCAAATCCTGCGATGAATTTTATTATTTATGAAAATAATTGAATTATTGCAAAAAATTTTATTAAAATGTTTAAAAAGAATTGAATTTCTGTGAAAAATTTTGTTATTTTTGAAAATAATTGAATTCTTCATAAGAATTTTATAAAAATTATTTTAAATAATTTATTTTTTCGAAATATAATAAAAAAATATTATGAAAATTTAATTAACTGAATTCTTGTGGAAAATTTAATTTGTGAAAATAATTGAATTTTTCGATTAATTAAATTAAAATAGTATTAAAAATAATTGAATTCTTCCTTAGAATTTGTATTAAACATTTTTTTAAATAATTGAATTTTCATGAAAAATCTTATTATTAGTTTTTTTGAAAATACTATTCTAAATTATGTAATTGAATTTATGTGAAAATTTTCTTATTTATGAAAATAATTGAATTTTATCAATTTTTTTTTAATTGAATTCTTTTGCGAAATTTTATGAAAATACTAGATATTGAAAATAATTGAATTTCGAATATTTTTTTGAAAATAATTGAATCATTTTAAAGAATTTGTTTATAATTGTTGAGAATAGTTTTTTTGATTTCTAGTATATTAACAAATTTAAAGTACAGGTAGTAGAAATTCTCAAAAAAAAAAAAAAAAAAAAAAAAAAAAAAAAACAGAAATCGTGGCTTTTAGTGTTACTATTATAATTTTAAAAAAATACCTTTCAATATTGTAGAATTTATTTTGTATACTAATTTCATTTGAATCTCGTGGTTGAAATTGTTTTCCGTTTATATAATTTGTTACCTTATAAATTTCTTTATGCTGCCTGTAAAGCACTATTATTTTGATACAATCAATTATAATGGCAGAAGAAAAAAAGAAACTTTCCGTAAATTCATCTGCCGTGAAATTTTGCTTTAGAGTGTAAACTAAATTTGAAACAATTAATGCAAATAAAGTTGTTATTATGAAGAAAACATAGAAATTGTAGATTGTAAAAAATCCTTGTGAATTTTTCTCCGGCCAAATGCCAATAAATTTAAAAATAGTTAATGAAATTTTCGCCGTGTGCATATTTTTATTTTAATAACAAAGGAATTATTGTAATTTAAAATTAAGATCTTTTTTTATTTAAATTTAAAATTTAGTTCGATTGGTTTTTAATACTTTGTAGTGAAATGATGGACAAAGGGTAAAGAAAACTGTTGCGTGAAAAGTAGACATGATATTTGACGCATACTTTGTATTATATAGATAGAATTAGAAAAGTCGTCTTCTCTCCACTTTAGATAATAAATTTCTATTAATAATTTCTGAGTTTCTATTAATAATTTCTGAGGACAAAGTATTGAAAGTTCTCTTTTAAAATTGATTTACGTTCCGAAGGGATGTAAGGAATTAATAGGCAAATTGTCTTTTCCTATAAATTGCATTTCAAGGGGGATAATAAATTCTTTCTCTTCATGAATTTATTATTAACGATGAAACTCTATACAAAGGGGAAAATTATTATTCAGTCGAAATATTGACGCAGAGCTGAAAACATTGTTAATACCTGTTCTAAAGAAGAAAATACTCTTTCAGACTAATATTTTATTTGGACTAGAATAATAGAATCAATGGTAGCTACAAACAAAATTTTGTTATTAACTTTGTTAATTCTTGATGTGGAATTTCTGTTACTAAAAACTTGATGGTAAATTTGATGATGGTAAATTTCAAATTTCTGATGCAATTGATCATCATCATAAGAAATAATTTCTAGTAATATGTTCTATAAGGATTTACAGCTGAAAATTAACAATAATTATTAAAATTTGTCACAAATTAAATTTTCAGTTTGTTACAATTTTTAATAATATTTTTTAATCACCTAAAATATTACTCTAAAAAAAGTAATCTTGATTTGATGTGAATTCCTCTAAACTAAATGCACATTTTCCTCCAATAAAAAAAAACTATTTTGATGCACTAAATTTAACGTTTTTAATTAAATAAATACTCAATTTAAGAACAAAATGTGCCTTTCCATAATTAACTTTTTCATCCTCCCCCACCAAATTCTTCAAAAACTTTAAATGAAAGCTTTTTCAAAAAGAATTAAACATTTAACTCTAAAATTGAGAAAAGTCCTTCTTCTGCATAATTACATCTGCAGATGTAGGGCTTTTCTCAATTTTAGAGATAAACAGTTAATTCTTTTTAGAATTAATATAATTAATAATTTCCCTCGATCTTATTATTAATTTTTTTGACAATAAGGTTAAATATAAATCATTTTCCTTTTAAGATCTAAGTGTCCTTCTTCTGCATAATTACCATTGTTTATTACAAATTTTATTGGATCACCCTATAGAGAATCATCTATGCAATAATTTCCTGAGTAATCATTATAATTTTTATTTTGTTAATGTAATTTAGGTGTAAAATATTCTATTGCAACAAAGAAATAGAACATAACCTAAAAATATACACTTCAATAATATGTATTTGTATTTACTATTTAAATAAATACTTTCTTGTGAAAATAAACACCTTTTGCTGTTTTGCTTCTTTTTTTTACCACAATATAAACAAATTAACACCATTTTTGTATTTATTTCACAAAAGTTAAATTAAAAGAATTAAAATAATTATTAAAGCACTTGAGATGTAAGTACTGCTTAAGTCATCAAGCGATCATTAAAATTTACAAAAAAAAGTAATTTCAAAACTCGAGCAGTTTTGCGCGGCAGTGACGTCATGTAATGTCCACCTTCCACCCACCACTTCACCCCCGTCTCTCGTACCTTTAATTTTAAAAACAAAAAATATTACAAAAATATTCATGTAATATGCCAACACGATTTTTAAGAACCTGATGCTTTATTTTACTCCTAATAAAAAAATTACCCACCGCACTGCAAAGGTTGCAAAACATTGTTGGATCTCTAACCCCGATGATAATAAAAACATAACCTCACTTTTTTCGTTTAGCTTCTGCTATGTATACAAAATTAAATAACAATTCCAATCTGTTTATTACCGCTTACAGAATGTATAATTAAACTTTTTACTGTCCAATTAAATTCTTTTTTCAAAGTCATCCTAATAAAATCACTTAATGTGTGTATCTAATGAAGCAAACGTATAAAAGAGGTGGATTTGTCGTATTTTTCTAATTATTTATTATAAAAAAAAGGGAGTAAAAAAAGTGATATGTCTGTGCCTAGTATTCTTCGGAATTGTTCCCAATTACCAGCGGTGATTGCCTTTGGAAATCCTCTTTTAGATATTATTACAAGAATCAACGGGAATGACCTTTTGCTTAAATATAACCTCAAAGTCGATGGACAGGCGGAACTTTCCACCGAGGAAACTCAACAGCTTCTTCAGGAATTACCCCCGGAGTTAATATTTACAATTTGGAAAAATTAATGATTCTTAGTATTTGAACCGCGAATTAAAGAAGATTTCTTAAATTCTTAAATCAAATTTTATTAGTAGCCTTGACCTTCGTTGTGTTCGTTGCTTCCGACACGTGCTAGTATATTATTTTCCCTTTATTATGAAATAAAATGTTTAAATCATGTTTAAATATTCATTTTTCTAGCGTTTTTCTATTTTAATATTTAAAATAAAAATTATTATTTAAAAGAAAAGCGGTGCAAATTTTGAGACTTAAAATTAAACTTAAATTTAATGTAACTTAATTAATTAATTTTTTCTCTTTTAAATCTAGATCCGAGCATATAGTGACACCAGGAGGATGTGCACAAAACACTTTGAGAATATTACAATGGCTTTGCGGTGGAGCACAACTTCCGCATATTGGCGTTTTTTATGGAAGTATAGGAAATGACACGAGGGGCTCGACACTAGAGAAACTTGTGCTTGCTGATGGCGTCGATGTGCAGTAATAATTTTTATTTATTTATTCAAGTCCATAAATGGGTCCAAAAAAAAAGATGCTTTTTGTACACAAGTACGTACTGAGTGTCTTAAAATAAAAGGACAAAAAAATCCAGTGGATTGGAAATTAATTCAAGTAAATTTAAGGCCATGACTTTCACAAAAAAAGAAGGAGGCAAAAGAGTACGAAATTGATGGTGAAATAGTATTTCAATAGTCAAAATTAAATTCTTATAAAAATAAATTAAAAATTGGTAAATTAACTAAAAGTATAAATAAAGAGATAAATATTAAAGAAAATTAAAAAATAGAATTGGAGAAATACAATTTCGAGAAAAATAAGAGAATTATATTCAAAATAAGGTTTTCCAAGTTTTACTGTACATAAAATTATTACTTAAAAATTATTTGATGAATAATTTTACTTAAATATATCAAAATTAATTGAATTTTAAAAGAGTTGGGTTTACAATTTTCATAAATAGATCAACTTCGAAAGACTTCAATTTGAAAATTAATAAAATTTCATTTTCGAATAAATTTAATAAAAAATTTTAAAGAAAATTTAAAAAAAAAATTTTTAAGATTTTTGAAAAAATTTTAATGATTCAAATTCTTCTGAATTTTGGAGAAGTTAGAAATAACAGCAATTTTTAGAAATAAATGAATTTTGAAAAGGTTTCAATTTCAAATCATTGGAAAATATTATAAATTTCTTATATGATTTAAATTCATATAGAATTAATTTTTTTTTAAAAATTTTATTTTCAATTCTATTGGAATTTGTTGATTTTTTAAATATTATTTGAAAAATATGAGCGCAATAAATAATAAAATTCTTAGGACAAATTCAATTATTTTCATAAATAATTAAATTCTTCAAAGGAATTAAATTATTTTGATTAATAATAAAATTTTTCGATTGAATTCAATTATTTTACTAAATTCTAATAAAATTATTCTAAACTTAATTCAAGTATTCTCATAAATAATAAAATTCTTTAGAAGATTTCAATTATTTTTAATAAATTTTTGACCAAATTTCTCGAAAGAATAAAATTATTTTTAAAAATATTAATTGAATTTGATTATTTTCGATAATATTGGTAAAATTCTTTTTAAAAAAATTATTTTCCCAACGTTTTAATAAAATTCTTTCAAAACATTCCATTATTTTAAAAAATTTTGATAAAATTCTTTATAAAACAATTCAATTATTTTTATAAATTATTGTAAAATTCTTCACAAGAATTCAATTATTATTTTTATAAATTGTAGCAAAATCTTTCTAAATAAATCAATTGTATTCTCAAAAGTTTTTGTTAAAAATCTTTATAAATCTTTGTTAATTTCAATTATTTTGAAAATTTACAATTAAAATTATTAAAATAAAACTACCTTATTTTCACGAAATTTAAAGAAATTCTTTAAAAAATTTTAATTATTTATGAAAACTAATAAAATTGTTGAATTTCAAAAAGATTTGAATTTGAATGTTTTGAAAATTTTTAATTCCTTCGGAAAAATAATAATGATTAAATATTCAAATATAAAAAAGAAGTTATTGATGTTTTTGAATAATTTCACAATTTTCGTAAATAATTATGCAATAGAACTTTTTTTTCAGTATCTAATCATTTTGAAAGTAAATCTTTGAGAGTATTCTTTAGGGTCAGGGAAAAAGTCAAAATTTTGTCTGGAAATCAGGGAAAAGTCAGGGAAAAACAAAATTAAATTTTTGTGGCATCCAGGGTTTGTCTTTGTGGACGTTTCATTATTTAATTTTTATTATAAATTAATTATTATCGAAAGCTTCCTCATAGACGGACATTTTTAAATTTCTTCGAAGCTTCCAGGACGCTTCCACCAGAGTCTCTCTTCGATCGTCCGGGGAAGCTTCCTGGAAAGGAAAAATTATTTTATTATAATTTTAAATTTTTATTATTATAATCTTTTTAAATTTTTCTTTTTTTCAGTTACGCTGTACATCCATCGCTGCCAACTGGCTTTTCAATAAATATAATATCGGACAATTCTTGGCGAAGTCTGGTTGCAAATTTAGGTGCGGCCAGTGAATATTCATTGTACAATCTTCATAATGTGAGATTGCCATTGGAAACAGTGAGAATTATTTACATCGAGGGTTTCTTTATAACACACAGTCACGATGTTGCCAAAGAAGTTTGTAAAATGGTGCATGGAAAGGATGTGATTATTGCATTCAATTTATCCGGAGAATATGCTTTTACGGTAGTTACAATTTTTGCTTAGAAATATAATTACAATTTTTTCTTTTCTAATTTTTTAAAAATATGATTATATTTTCGTAAAATAAAATTTTTAAATATATTTTTTTAATTTCACAAATATTGCGATATTTTCTTTTTTCTAATTTCTAAAATATTTTCTTTTTTCTAATTTCAAAGATTTTACAATTTTTCTTCTTTTAATTTTTAAAATATTTTCTTTTATTTCTAATTTGAAAATTGAAAAATTAATTTTTCTTCTCATTCTTTCAGGATCATTATAAGCAAATAATTGAAATGGTGGGAATGTCGAGAATTGTCTTTGGCAATGTAAATGAAATGAAAGCGTTGGCACAATTTTTGAATATACAATTTCAAAGTGTCGAGAATATTCCATTTTTATTGAATAGTGTGACGAGAGTTACTGTCAACATTTCTGATACGGAATCAAAGGATTGGTTGTCAACGAGCGGAGTATTTGTCATGACACAGGGAGGCGATGGTCCAGCGACTGTTGTTTGGGGTCAGGGAAATTCAGCTCAGGTATTTTTTTTTTCATTTTAAATTTAAATAAATAAATAAAACTTATTTAATATTTTTTCTCTTTTCTGTTGAATAATTAAATTAAAATTTTTTTAAGTTCTTTTAGTTTCTTTTTCATTCTAAATAAATAAATAAATAAATAAATCCTATTTTAATTTGTTTTATTTTCTTTTTTTATTTTAAATATAAAAATAATAATTGAATTCCTCCAAAGAATTTTGTCAAAACTGGAGAAAATAATTGAATTTAATTAATATTTTTAATAATTATAAAAAAATCATTTCATAAATAATTTATTTCATTTTTTCTTTTTTATTTACAGGTACATCCAATTATTCCAAAGGCACCGATAATTGACACAACCGGCGCTGGAGATTCTCTTGTCGCTGGTTTTCTCGCCGGCGTTATAGCGCAAAAAGATCCAAAAACGTGTTTAGAATGGGGTTGTCAAACGGCGTCGATAATAATAACAAGATTAGGCGTCACTGTGCCAAGTGGAACACCAGATTTTATAGATTAAAATCCTTTTGCCTTCTTCTTTTTCTTTTTCATTGTTCGATGAATACGAGATTATATACAATTATATAAAAGCGATAAAGGAAAGGAAAAAAATTGTTAAATTAATCTTTACGCTTCAAAGTTTTACACGAAGGATTCATCAAAAAAAAAAGGGAAAAAGAAATGAAAAGTAGATAAGTAATTGAAGCTCCCATGGATCTGATTTTAGTACAAAATAGATATTATTTTTCCTGTTAATCTAATAGGCAAGAATTTAAAAAAAAAGGTATTTATCATTTTCTCGTTAGGTAATGGATTATTTTTTATTTTCCTTATTAAGTTTAATATTATAAATATTTTTAATATTCATATAATTGTTAATGCAAATATTTAAATATTATGAATATTTATAATAATGATTAATATTATTACTATCAGTAATAGTTATTATTAGTAGAAAGTCATTTCGAAACTGAAAAACAAACAGTTTTGAAGAAATACCTCGTGATAATCGCCAGAAATTGAAATCAAAATAGAATCATTTTGTTTAGAAAAAATTAACACTTCTTCACCTAAAGTCATTTAAAACATTAGTTTCAAATTTTCACAAAAATTCGAATTTGTTACACATTCTCAAAAAAAAATTGAAAATAAAAAAAAATTATTAACTTTTTTTTCTTTCAATTTAAATATTTATTTATTTATTCATGATTATAATCTTTCTATTAATAGACAAAATTTTTAGATAACAGAAAATGTTATGAATTATTAAACTAAAATTGTTAAAAGGAAAATTTGATATAATTATTTTATTTAGAAGATAATTTAAAATACAAATTTTAAATTATTTAAATTATTTAAAATACAAATAGAATTTAAAAACCAATTAAAGTCTTGAGTTTCAATTTCTGGTTTAATATAATAATTATTGTAGATAAATGTCAAAATGTACAAAAAAAAAGAAAAAACAGAGATAAAATGTAAAAAGAAAAACAAGAATAACTATTTTCTCTATTGAACTTTTTAGAAGCAGGAAAATAGATATTTTTTCTTGCTTTAGATGAATTTTACATTGAGCATAATTTATTGATAATTATTCTTGTATACAAATTATAAATAGAAAAAAGTAAGAGGGAAAAAGTGGATTTGAAATTTTTAGCGAGATTGAAAGAAGATTTTTTTCTGTTTGGAAATAATAATAAATGCAAATAATGTTTAAAAAAAAGATATAAATTTAAAAAGTATAAATATTAAAAAAAAATAAATTAAAAAAAGTATAAATTAAAAAATATGAATATTAAAAAAAGTATAAATTAAAAAATATGAATATTAAAAAAGTATGAATTGAAAAAGTATAAATATTAAAAAAAGAATAAATGGAAAAAGTATAAATAATAATAAAAGAAGTTATAAATAATAAATATAATAAATATAATAATAAAAAGAGAAATACCTAATGTTTAATAAAAGTAAAATAGTTTAAACTTAAAAGCAAGATGATCTTCCAATTGAGTATATAATGAAATAGGAAAAATAGAAAAAAAAAATTTTTTTTGAAAAGTAAAAGAAAGTTTCAGTTATATGTCGAAAACTTTATTTTACTTTTGATTTTGAATTCGAAGAATATTAATTTTAGTCTAAATATTATATTTTTTGTGATAGACACTTAAAAACCAAAGTGAGGCACACGAGTACTTAAAGGAAAAGGAGTTGAAAAAAAATTAATAAATTTTTGAATTTTACATCCACTTCTCTGAAATACACAAAAAAAGGGAATTAAAATTGAAAAATTTTATATTAGGAAAAAAAGTATTTTTTCACAACAGAAAGTTTTTTGTCTTTTAATTTTAATATTCTCAAAATTTATAGTGAAGAATAAATTTAGAGAATTGTATTTGTAGAGAAAATGAGAGAGAGAGAGAGAGAAAGTTGAAAATATTGAATTTTCATCAAAAGAAAAAAAAATGTTGACGAGTAATTTATTGTGTGATTGTAAAAAAGAAGATAAAAATTCTAAAATGAAAATGTGTTTCCTCTGAAACAAAAAAGAAATAAAATGCTTAATTGCATATTTTCATTAATTAAAAGTAGACAAAATTTGTTTTCTTTTATTGTCCAATTTCTCCAATTTAAAATTTCGGTTAATTTACTTTTTTTTGTTATTTAATTTCAAATTAATCAATTTTTTAGTATTTTTCATTTTTTTCTAAGTTTTGAAATTTTTTCTACGTTTCTTAAATTAAAATATTTTTGTTTTTTTTGGTAATATTTTATTAAAATAGATAAAAATGAAATAAAATTTATAATTTTCCAACAATTGAAAATTAATATAATTAATTAATAACTAATTATTATAAAAAATAATCTAATTAATTAAAAAAGAAAATTAAGTATTTATTTATTTTTGTATTTCTAAGCAAAATGTAAAAATTAATATTTGTTTTAATTATAAATAAATAACTTATAATTTATAAAATAAATAATTTATAATTTTTAAAATAAATAATAAATAATTGTAAAATAATGTTTTATTACTGAAAAAAAATTGATATTTTTTTAAATTTATTAAAAAAAGAAATAAAATTACTTTTAAAATTTGAATTTTCGCGCGGAAAATACAATTTATAATCGATATTTGGATTCGAGATATTTTTTGTTGTGTTCGTGTGTGATTTTGACATTTACTGTGCGTTTTGTTTATTTACAACATAATTTCAACGCAAAATATCAAAAGTAACAACAATAAAACATAATAACAACAAACAAAAATGTCGGTAAGTATAGTAGAAATAATAAAATACATTTTTTCTTTGTAGAAAATCTACAATAATGACACAAATAAACATCTCTTTAATATTCCTAACCTCAAAAAAAATTAACTTTGTCTATTTTCAATCTATTCCTTTATTTTTATAAATTTTTTCAATGATTTTCATGTTTTATAATAAACAGTTAATATTATGGTCGAATTTTACATTAATTCTGCCATTTTTTAGTCTAATATACAAAAAAAGTATTTTGACAACATTTTTGTTATAAAGTTTGTTATTTAATTTATTAATTTAATTTAATTTAATTAATTTATTTAATTACCTTTTTTTGTCGCATGTAGTTTTTTTATTCCTCTAATTATTTCCATAAACACAAAAATCAAGTAATTTTTTAAATAAAAATTGATTAAATTTACTTCTACAATTTAAGCAAGAAATAAATTAATCAAAATATTTTCCTGGTACAATTGAGTAGTGTTTAATTAATTTTGCAAATAGATTTATAAGTTTTTTATTAAATTATTATGTAAAATTAAATATCTTCTACTATTAATTAATTATAGTTTTATTAATTAATTTTACTTATTTAGCTATTTAATTATTATTTTTACATTTATTTTTTAATTGAATATATTTTTTAAAAAAATGATAATTTTTCGTTTCTTTCTCGCAGCAACGTCCGGACGATCATCGTCGAAAATGGAATCGAGAGGATTACGAGAGATTGGCGTTATTGCGTTTACAGGAGGAAATTGCCGAGGACGATCTTGGAATTCCAAAACAACCGGCAGTTAAACGTGAACTTTTAAAGCAACGCGATTATAAAGTTGATCTCGAATCAAAATTAGGAAAAAGTGTCGTTATCAATAAATCCACACCATCATCACAAACTGGCGGTTATTATTGCAATGTTTGCGATTGTGTCGTCAAAGATTCCATTAATTTCCTCGATCACATTAATGGCACAAAACGTGAGTTTATTACTTTTTCTATTTTATTTTATACTGAAATGTGTAATTAATTAATATTTAATTTAAAAATTTTAATTTGTAATCTATTTAAATATATACTTTTTTTCTGTTTATTTAAAGGCAATTTTTGTTTATAAAATTAAAACATTTTGTTTCAGATCAGAGAAATTTGGGAATGTCCATGAAAATAGAAAGATCAACACTCGATCAAGTTAAAGCGAGATTTGCCGCAAACAAAAGAAAACTCGAGGAGAGAAGAAAGGATTATGATCTCGAGCAGAGAGTTAAAGAACTTAAAGAGGAGGTAATTTTTTTTCTCTTCTTTCTTGATTATCTAATTGATAGTTATTAATTTAGAAGAAATTAGTTATGATAAATACAAAAGGAAAATTATATTTAATTAAATTAAATTAATTAATCTCTTCTGCATTTAGTTAAATTTTTAAATATATGTTTAATCATTAATTATTAAAAACAATTGATTCATAGACGAATTTTAGTTAAAAACACTAAAAAAGAAATTAATTTTGGAGAAGTTAGAAATAATTGTAACTTTTTAAAATAATTGAATTTCGAAAATTTTTTAAATTCAAATCATAATCAAAAATTTTTCTTTAATTCTCGTTAAGATTAAGTTGAATAATTGTAAACAAATTAGATTTGAAAATTCTCCAAGAACTTTATCAAAAATGATTAAAATAATTGATTTAAATAATAAATAAATATTTTATTCATTAATAAATAAATTATTAAATAAATTATAAATTACATTAATAAATATAAATAATTTATTTACATTAATAAATAAATTGATTTAAAGAAGAATTTTAGTTAAAAATTCTAGAAACAATATTGATTATTAATAATCATTTTTAGAGTGACTGAAAATAATTTTTAGGGTCAGGGAAAAAGTCAAAACTTTATTTAGAAATCAGGAAAAAGTCAGAGAAAAGCAAAATAAAATTTTTTTTGGCAACCCTGATTTAAGAAAAATAGAATTAAATATTTAAATGAAAATAAAAATATTTATTTTCAGGAGGAGAAAGTAAAGGAATACAGAAAGGAAAAGAGGAAAGACAAAAAACGAAGAATGGAGGAGGAGGACAATGATGACGCTGGACCATCCGACGAAATGGCGGCAATTATGGGATTCAGTGGTTTCGGTTCAAAAAAAAAGTAATTTAGAAAAGTAAATACATTTATTTGTTTTCGTTATTGTTAACTAAAGTTTTTTTCCAAATATCATATTACAATATATTTTGAAATACTTTTTCAAAAATATTTTCACGCCTAATGATAATGAATATCATTTATTTAAATATTTCTACGCCTTATAATAATTATAAAGAGTGAAAAAAGAAATACAAATAATAATAAAAATTAAATACAAATGAAAAATAAGGGAGAAAGAAAAAAAATAAGGAGCAATTTAACAAAATTTTTAGCGAAAATAGTTTTTTTCTTTGTTAAATTGTCCCTTAATTCTAAAAAAACAGGAAAAAAATTATAAAATAAAAAAAGTAACAAAAGGAAATACTGTTTATTTTTATTTATCTAGAATTTCTAAACTAGATATCACAAGTTTTCTCTTTCCCTTGAGCAAAACGGTTAATCAGTCTTACAAACGAGATTTCTGTTCGCAAAGAAGTTCTTTTTTTTGTCTAAAAAAATAATAGAATTCTTCTTTTTTTTTGGTGTAAAAGAAGGAAACGAAAAAATAATCTCTAAAGTAAAAAAAATAGTTTTTCTGGTTTTGTAACAAAAATATTCTTTTACCATTTGAGAAATCTCGTGACTTAATAATTAAACGAACGAAAATTCAAAGAATTGAAATTTACAATTATAATTAAAGTTGTAATACTGTCGAACAAAAATAATTAGTTGAACTTTAATTATAATTATATAATTATAATTATTAGAATTCGAAAAATTTCCGTTTTCAATTTTCTTTGTTTATAAATGTTTGGCACAAAGTTTTCTAAGCGATGGTTTATGATAATTCTCGTAATTATCATTATCTAATTATTATGATAATAATTCTTATTCTCTATTAAATTCTAACTTACAAGTCATTTTCGGTCATTTCCAAACTAGCAATAACTTCCTCCACACATCGTTGAATTACATTCATCGAAACATCGTAAACTTCATTTCTCAATGAACTCACAAATTGTGAATGATATTTTATTTCCGGTTTAAAATAAGATTTATCCTCACAAAATTCATTGGAATAGTTGGCTAAGAATTTTGGATATGACAAATTTAATGGTTCACTGTTATTTCTATTGTTATCATTATCATTGATAATATTCATTTCCGGTGAATTCAAATCATCGAACATATCAACGTCTGAATCATGATAGGAATCAATTGTTTGATAACTACTTTCACTTTGATTATCAGTTGAAGTAAATTGTGCCAATAAAGTTAAATCTGATTTGACACTTATATTGTCATTGTCATTTTGATAATTTGCTATTGTTGTCGTTTGACTTGAATATAATTCACGTTCTCTTTGCAGTGAAATAATATTCTCGTCAATTAAACTCTTTAGAATTGAAAATGCTTCACTTGATTCAGATTCTTTTGATTGTGAATCGTGAATTGGATTATTTTTCAATAATTCTAAACTATTTTTTGCCATGCATTGTTTCGGTGTTGTGCCGGCGAAAAGACGATTATTTGTTGATGAGCACATTGAAACATCGTCTGTTAGTTTCGATAATACTGAATGCGATGAAATTGACGTGGTTGCAAAGGAAAATTCCTCGCCTGTTAAAAAAAAAATTAAGTATTATTTTATTTAAACTATTATAACTACAGGTGCGTAAATTTTCTTTGCCATTGTTACTTTGATTTTCTTATTGAAATCTAAACAAAACTTCTTCAGTTTTTAAAGAATGTAACTTTTCTAACAGTTTTTCTTTAAATTAAAAAAAAAAATCCTGGTAAAGTTTAATTCTAAATTTCTTTAAAGTTCAATTATTTTCCAAATTTTAAAATAGAATTCTTCAAAGATACGATTATATTGCAAAATAATTTTTAAAAGTAAACAAATAAAATTCATTAAAATACAAAAATTTATTTCAAAGAAATTTGACAAAATTTTCAATTGTTTCAATTTTTTAAAATTACTTTCGGAAATAGAATTTAAAAAAAAAATTTTATTACATTTTTTCACGAAACAAATTTTTTTGGAATTTCTAAATTAAATTATTAAAAACTTGAATACTTTTTGTTAAACAAAAATTTAAAATCTTATTCTTATAAGGATTAAAATTATAAGAATTAAAATTTCAAATAATTTCAATGAAAAACCTTTTGAAATTTAATTATTCCCCTAAAATTGCAACTGTAATTCTTCCAAAATCCAATTATTTTTTTACAATTTAAAATTAAATGTACTGAAAATCATTAAATTCTTGCAAAGTATTTATTAAAAAAATTTGCGAAAATAATTGAATTCTTTCGTGAAAATGTAATTAAAATTGTATTGAAAATAATTCTTTAAAATAATTGAATTGTTTTGAAGAATTTATTTCAATTTTCTCTCGAAAATAATGGAGTTTTTTTAAAATAATTTTTACTGAAAATTTTGAAAGTAATTGAATTTTATGAAGATTTTCTTTTAGGTTTTTAAAATAATCGTGTTTATTGTTAATTAATAATTATTAACTAATATTAATTAAATTAATTTATTAATTATTAATTCATTGTAATTAATAATTACTTCCTCATTAAATTATATTAAAATTATTCATAGAAAATTAAATTCTTTTAAACAATTTTGTTAGATTTTTTTTATAAATAATTACATTTTTCTTTAAAGAATTTCATTAAATTTCGTAAAAATAATTTAATTTGTTTTTAATAATTTTAATTGAAAATTTTGCAAATAATTGAAATTTACAAAGAATTTTATTAAAACTTTTGAGAACAGTTGAATTGATTAGAAAGAATTTATTACAATTTTTAAAAATAATTGAACCTGCTAGAGAAATTTTGTTAAAATTAACTTGAATATAATTGAATTTCTTCCTAGAAATTTTATTAAAATTGTATTGAAAATAATTGAATTCCTTTGAAGAATTTTATTATTTATGAAAATATTTTAATTCTTGAGAAGAATTTTATTTTTTATGAAAATATTTTAATTCTTGCGAAGAATTTTCTTATTTATGAAAATAATTGAATTCTTACCGAGGATTTTATTTGAATTTTTAAAAATAATTGAATTTTTTGAAGGAATTTGATTTAAAATTTTGAAAATAATGATTTTTTAAAAGAATTTCATAAACATTGTCGAAAAAAACTGAATTTATATTAAAATTCTTGAAAATAATCGAATTTAATTAATATTTTTAAAAATAATTGTATCCTGTGGAAAAGTAAATAAGAATGAATTTTTAAATTTTTGTTTAACTAAAACTATTGATGTTTTGAATAATTTAATTTAGAAATTTAGAAAAAATTTGTTTTGTGAAAAAAATGTAATTAAAATTTTCTAAAAATAATTGTATATCCCAAAATAATTTTTAAAAAATTGAAACAATTGAAAAGGTTGTCAAATTTCATTGAAATAAATTTGATATTTTAATGAACTTTATTTATTTACTGTTAAAAATTATTTTGAACTATAACCGTATTTTTGATATAATAAAATCTTTTATTACTGTAAATTAATTCAAAATATTTTCAATACATATTATATTAGATTCCTCGAAAGAATTTAATAATTGTTTTCAAAAAATGTTGATATAATTCTTTTTAAAAATTCAGCACCTTTTTTTAATTTTAAAGTTTTTTTTACTTTATTTTAATTTATAATTAATAAGTCAATTACCTGTGAGAATGTTATTGTTTGTCTCATATGACAAAGACAATTTATAGTCATCGTATTGGGACATTGTTGTTTTTTCCTCTCCTTAGACTTTTGATATTTTTATCAATTTTTCTCGATATTCCAAAAGAAAACCTAAAAATTAACAATTATTTGAATACTTTAAGTTTTTTTTTATTCAGTAAATGGGGTGAAATTTTCGGATTTTATTCATTTTATTATAAATTTTCGTTACATATTAAATTTATTTAATTAGTATTGATAAGTAGTGATTAATATTTATTAAATAATATACCAATTAATTAATTAATCATTATCTTTTTTTTGTTACAATATTCAGATAATTAAACTAATTAAATTAATTAAATATTTTGAGTACAGCAAAATATTAGAGGAACTTACCAGCAAACATAAAATTAGAAAAAAGATCTATTATCAAATTTTCTTGTATTATGATTTTTTGTTTACCTTTATCATAAAGGAATTTCACAAATTAATCGAAATTGTATACATTAAAATGCTCCTTCAATTTTTGCTTTGAAAATATTTTTAAATGAAATATTAATGTTTTATTAAATTTATTATCTAATTTAATTTGTTTAATTTTTAAATAAAAAATATTTTCTTTGTTGTAATATAATTATAGGTTATGTACGTATAGCAATGTTTTTGTCAACATGAAAAATTGCCGGTAAAATTAACAATTAAATTGAAAATAATGAAATATTAATTAATTTACCTTGTGATTAACGTGCGTATGTCACGTTTTCAATCAAATAAAAATTGAACAATGACAAAAGAAATCTCAAATGAAGAAATGTAAACAAAACAATTTTTTTAAGCGGAAACGGAAGTTTGTGTGCAACAAGAGAACGAGGAAGGTGAACGGAAACGAATATCGATATATATCGATAGAGCGATTTGCTTCTAACTTCACTTTGTATAGAAACAATCACGCATCGAGTGCGTTCAGTGCGAATAATGTCCAAGAAAAGGTATTATTTATCAAATTCTTTTAGTTTATCAATAATAATTGTGAATATCAAAGGAAATGTTTTATTTTTATGGTTCGTTTTAACAAATAATTTATAATTTCAAGTCAATTGTTGTATTTTGGTAACCTAACCGTCCTAACCTCACTTTTTTCAATAAGGAAAAAAGAAATTGTTTCTTACATATATTTTATCAATAATTATTTTGGCAAAATAAGTATGATTAATTCATCATTGAATTTATATATAAATAGCGTATTAATTACTTTTTTCTTGTATATAATTCATCAAATAATACGCAAAAGTGTCGAAAAATAATGTTTTCTCATCTAACAAAATAGTTTTCGTTTTTTTCAACATATTAAATAATTACCTATAAAAAACAAATTTTTGTTTTTAAAGAATTGAAAAATCGAAGGAAAGTTTAAAAATTCGTTTTCTAATTAAATATTATTAAGTTTATTTGAAATTAATTTTTTCAAATTTGATTTTCGAAAGTTTTTTTTTTAATAATTTTTGAATGAAAAATTATTTTTAATTAAAAGTAATGTAATAATGTCAATAATTGGAATTAAAATTACCTAATATTTTTGAAAATAAAATTAAATGAACTCGATATTAAAAATTTAATTAATTATGCAACATTAAGGATTAAAAGAATTTTTCCAACGATTTTCGAAAATAGTATTGAATTTTAGAACATAAATGATTAATTTGTAGAATATAAAATGTATTTTTTTGTAAATATGTTTATATTTTTTATAAAAATAGAATGTATTTTAAAAAATGATGATTCAATTATTTGAGAAAAAATTTTTTATCTAGAACAGCTATACAAATTTCATTAAATTAGCGAAATTTTTAGTTGTTTCAGTTAAGATTTTATAATAAAAAACAATTAATTTAAAAAATACTATAGAATTTAAGAAAACAATTTAATATCTAGAGATAAATAATTCAATTTAGAAAAAATTTTACTTATTGAATAAGAATATTAAAATATTAATAATAATAATATTGTTTATTCAAAAATAATAATTATATATATAAACAATTCTTTTTTTAATTACGTGGTTGCCACAGAGCTTGAAAATCCTGGAAAACCTGGAACAGGTATCAAAAACCTAGAAATAGAATGGAATTTAAAATTTTTCCTGTTTTTAAATATTTTTTAAAAAATATTGTTCTAGCCATTGTTAAGGAACAGGCAAAATTTTTTTGACTATAACAATTGTTAGAGAACAGAAGTAAAGTTCGCTCAAAATATAATTCTGTAAATCATGGAAAAGACCTGGAATTTTTAAAAGTTTCTAAATTTTTCCTTTTTTCTATTTTTTCTCTTCAATAGAAATTTAATTAGAGATTTTAAGATATAATATATATTATTCGACGTGGAAACTACATTTAATATTCCACTGGAATTTCCTAAAAATAGGACCTGGAAATCATAAATAAGGTATGGAATTTTAAGTTCGGATTTCTGCAGGAACCCCAATGTTGTATTTTAAGAAATTCGGTTTTTCGAATTTTTGATAATTTTAGATTTTTTACCAAAGGGTTGAGACTATTAAATAAGTTAATTGTTTTTAAAGAGCCTAAAAATAATGAAGCTAAATGCCATAAAAAGAAGGAAAAATGTTGAATTTTAAGAAATTCGGATTTTTGAATTTTTGATAATTTTCGATAATTTTAGATTTTTTACCAAAGAGTCGAGACTATTAAATAAGTAAAGTATTTTCCAAGAGCACAAAAATAATAAAGCTAAATGCCTTAAAAAAAGAAGGAAAAATGTTGAATTTTAAGAAATTCGGATTTTTGAATTTTTGATAATTTTCGATAATTTTAGATTTTTTACCAAAGAGTCGAGACTATTAAATAGGTAAAGTATTTTCCAAGAGCACAAAAATAATAAAGCTAAATCCCATAAAATAGTAGAAAAAATGTTGAATTTTAAGAAATTCGATTTTTCGAGTTTAAAATTTTAAAAACTTATTTAGTTCTATAAAAGAAAATTCAATTTAATAATTATAATTAATGAAAAACTAAAAAAAATTGAGTTTTGAGAAAGTAGTCGATTTGTAATTTTTTGTTTACATTTTGAAAAATGTTTTTCATTGTTTGGAAGGTTTTGTAATTTTTAGAAGATAGATTTCTTTTATTCCTAATTTTTTTAAATATTTGAGAAAATAAAAAAAATATTATTTCTTTAATTTTAATGTTAAATTTATGCCCCCACCTTTCACTCTCTCCTGTTAACAAGATTCTATCATCTCTCTTTTTCTCTCCCTAAGAATCAGGAGAATGCTCATCAGTGCACGAGTTCGCGGCAAACAACACGCATATATTTTTACATACTTCTCCCAAGTCTCGTATTATTTCAATTTTACTGAAAAAATATTAATAACAAATTTCCCTTTCCCTCTAAAAAAAGACCCTTTTTTAAACATTCTCTCAGTCAGTTTTTTTTCGAAAAGTTTAAAGAAAAATAATTTTTCATTCAAAAAATTGTCTATTTTCAAAAATTGACAAAAACTAGATGAATTATTTTTTGCGAAAAAATTCGATGAAATAAAAATTAATTATGAATGGAATTGAATTATTTTGTTTATAATTTAATCAAAATTTAAATGAATGTTTATTGTTTTTTCCAAGAATGCAAATTACGGTGTTTTTTAATGTAAATTGATGGATTTTTAAACTGGAAACAATTTTGTGAAATGTGAATATTCAAAGTGAAAGTGATTTTATTTTTTAGAAAATTATCTTTGGAGCCTTTTTTAAATGAGTAAAAAAGTTGGATAGTTGAATGAAAACAAGGAATTATTAATGGATTAATTAATGGATCAAGAAGCTCGATTGGGCTTCTTTAAACGACCGATTAGAAGGCACAGAAGACATTCGAGAAATTGCAGTAAAAAAATGCCTCGGTCCACGTTACAGCCGATCGAGGAGTCCAATTCGGCCAAATCAAGTAAGATTTAAATTTTTTTAAAAATTGATTTCCGTTTTTTATTTCTTTCGGTATTTTTTACTACGAAACGTATTTAATTACAAAAACATACATTATTTAATTATATATACCTACTTTTTAATTCCCTCTTTTATTGTTTCTTTTATTAATAAAAGTTAAAAATTTAAATCGAATCCAAAGGAAGATAAAATAGTTATTAATAATAATATCCAAATACTTAAAAATTAGTTAATAACTTAGGAAATTAGTTAATTTTTTTGTTTATTCTAAAGTAGAAAAATTTTCCACATTTAGATTTTTCCATAATTAATTATTGTTTAACTTAATTATCAAAAAAAAAAATTTCTCTTAAAAATCCAAATAAATGTACACGAAAATAATTCATCGCAAAATTCATTATATCAAAAATCTAATAAGAAAACAAAACTATATTTTTGTCATTTTTTTCAAGCTGCAACCGAAAAACAATTTAATTTATAATAATTATTAATTGTTGCTAATTAGTAGATCTCTTTTTTGTAGCATAAGTGTTTCTGTTGAAAAATTGAAAAGACAATTTCAAAAAATAATCGAGAATAATAAATAACAACTATTAAATTGAGGGGCTAACAGTAAAAATGAGAGCAAAAGTAAAATAAGTGATTAGGGAGCTAAAACGAGTTAAAATGATTGTGGAAATTTATTGATAAATTAATTATATTAATTAAAAAATATTAACAATAGCAAAAAAAAATTATTTTATTTTGGAATGATATTATTGATATTTATTAATATTTTGTAATCATTAGTATAAGAAACTTATCGATAATTTCATCAATCATATTAATGCAGGCGATTTTTCACTATTTTTCAATGGTTTTAGTAAAATTTTCCAAATATTTTGCAAACCGAATTTTTTTTATTATTTACAAAGATTTCAGTTTTTCAAAAATTAAACTTTTACCGAAATTTTGCATTTTTTTCACAATTATTTTGTCTATAGGTATTCTATTTATAAGAAATAGAAATGAAAAAGATTTGCATTTTAATAGAAACGAAAACTGTTAATGGGACAAATTAGTTGAAAGTAAAATTTATTTTTGCAGTGAAAGTAAATATTTTACTATTAAATTTTTACTAAAGTTTTGAATTTACTTTTAGCAAATATTTTGCGTGTTTTATTTCCAAAAATTAGTAATTAAAAAATTACTTTGAAAAAAAACAAAGTGATAAATTAGAAGAAAGTAAAATTTGTTTCGATGAAAGTAAAACTTGTTTGGGTTTTTTTAAAATGTTTTTCACGTAGAAACTTTCATAAGAAAATAAGTTATTAAAATAAATTCTATTTTTTTATCATAAAAATACAATTTTTTATGTTTTTATAGTTTTATTACTTTTTTTTATTACAAAATAATTTCACTTTCAACGTTCCACTTTAAAATTACAAAATGGACTGTTCGAAATTTTCTTTTTTAAAATATAGATTAAAAAAAAAACGGAAAAAATTTTTTTTTCACACGTTAATTGAACAATATTGAAATATTTAATAATTGTACAGTTAGATTAATTTTTCTTTTCTTTTTTTTAACGGGAACTAAAATTTATATAGTTTCTAATAAGAATGGTAAAGAAACGTGGATTTTGAGTTTTTTTTTATCATGTTAAATGAAAGAGAATGAAGAATTTGATTTTTTTATTTAATTTAATTGTGATTGTTATGATAATGTGTGAGAAGTAAATAAATTCGATATGGGGGATACGCCTTTTCTTGTTTTGAGATATCGAAAACTTTCACTTTTTTCTCCTCCACGGAAGTGAAAAGAAAATGATCGGTCTCGGGTAAATCTTCTATTATACGGCTTTTACCGTCGGATTTGCCGAGGAAACTCTTATTTTCAAGGGGAACTTGAGAGAAGATCGAGGCACTCATGCATGAGTTCAATTCTATCACGCACAGTC